AGGGTCACGTGACCGCGTCTGAGGCTGGCGCAAAGGGCCCTCGCCACTCCGCCGCCACACTCGACCAGGTCTCCCAGAATCATATAAAAGGCCGACCCTTCCTCCTCTTCTTCCTTGTCCGAAAATCTCCATCATTCCTCCTCCCTCTCCTTCTGCGCACGGACACGCAGACCTTCTCCCTCTTGTCTTCAATGCTCGTTCCTCTGCTTCGCTCCTCATACCACTGGCAAGCCTCCTCTCTCTGTCGTCTATGTCTCTCTTGTCGTTGCCATAATCAAGCTGCAAATATAACTCTGCTCAATTGACGCGTCAACGGCGCGTGTTATGTCCTACTTGCCTCCTCTATGCTTCCCTTTGTCTGCTTTCCACTCTATGTTCATTGCTGCCTGTTACGCTTCTGCTTGCACTATCATGTTGACTGCTTTCATGTCGTTCTCATTGCTGTCTGTACTTCTGTTTTTCTGTTTGTCTCCGATTGGTCTCGATTCCCTGGTATTCCTGCGATCATTCAAACAACCGGTACGCCACACTCCTTTGCGCCACTGGGTGACTGGCGTGCGCCCCTTTTGATTCATTCAAGCACTTTGCCCGTATCATGCGGCAGCTCTCCTCTTCCTGGTAATGCTCTTCCGCGCCTCTAGACCTCAGCCAAATTCTGCCATTTGCTATTCGTTGTTCTCTCGCGTCTTAGACTAATCTTGTGGGCAAGTGATTCAAATATAAGTGGATATTATTCTGTGCTATTGCTGGTATGCTCTCGTTTCTGGTTGTTGCTTTGTTCTCTTTCGCTGCTCTGCTCCTGCTCTCGTGGTCTACGTCGACATCTAGATGGTGAGTGCATGGATACATTACAGCTAGCTTCGAAGTTAACGCGCCTGCTGCAGCCCTTCAAGAGATGACTTATCTCTATCTATTCTATCTATTACGTGGATTCTTGCCCTCCGGATTTTGGCGTATTAACATCAAGGTGATCCAAGTCTTCAAGACGAATGTATGTATGTACGTATGTCTCGCTGCGTTGTTTCATGTGTCACTAATATATACGGGGATTAGATGTATGCAAACTCAATGCAGGATCAACGTAAATCGTGTGGTGTGCTCACGTTGGGGCAGCGATCGTCTGCACTGCTTGACATGCATTCGTGGTGCTATCTCCACAAGAAAACGCGATGTCCCCACGGAGGTGCGGGCGTCAGCATCGAGTCTACGGCTCGGCTTTCGTATCCCATCTTCCAAGTCGCATTGCCGGCACAGAGTGACTCGGGCGTTAGCTTCGAGACATGCGCTCAGTTTGCGTCTCGCTGTCCTCAAGATGATGTCGCGCATTACGCATTCGGGTCCGTCCGCCGGCTTCGCCTTGCGGGCTTTGAGTGCGGTGGCCTGTCGGCCTTGTCATCATCAAGGGAGCCCCAAACGGGACGAATGCATGATATCAAGGGAGCCCCAAACGGGCCGAAGCTGACAGCATCAATCGAGCCCAAAACGAGTCGAAGACGTATAATGAAAAAAACAAAAACTGAGATTTGAAGGGAGCCCCAAACGGGCCGAAGCTATGAACAATTCTCCAAGCGCAAGAATGACATCATGCTTTTCCTATCTGCTGTTGGACGGTTTCACACCGCGCAAGGCACTTGTTCTGGTGTGCGTTGAGTTGTCTGGTTTTCGCTGACAATTGTCTCGCGTGCGGAGCTTGTTCAATGCCTGTAGATCACAACCGCTGTCGCGCTGTGCAGGATAACCCAACCCCTACACAGTATCCTCCGTCAAAGTATCAAGCGTCAACGGTTCCTGTCAACATCTTTCTGAACGACCATTTTCATGTTCCACTGTGCGTATTTACCTTCATTCCAATTCTTCAGGAGATGCCGATCTTCCACAATTAGATCAAGCTACGTCGCTTAGCTCGGTCTCGTCGTTGAAAGACTGACGCCTAAGGTACGTCCCCGAGGGAAGGGCGGGTGTTCGCATCCGTCCTGGCGCAGACCTTTTCGTGGTCCTCGGGATAAGTACCTGCCTGATCGTTGGATCACATCCGCGATGGGTGGAGAAACTAGCATGCGCCGAATTTCTTTTGCACTGTTGGAAGTCATCGCCTTCACGCGTTATGTATCGTTTCAATAAATTGGCGTTTACTATTTCGCATTGCAACGACGATTGGCAAGCTCATAAGTCCTCTTGTAGGTGGCGCGACGATTGTTTTCTGCTCGGATGATGCGTTCTTTCGTGCAGCCTCTTGCGGTGTTTTAGTCTGGGTGTGTAATCTTTCTCTCTTCTCACCTTGCAAGTGCGTCGGGAACACCCTCGATGCTTCTCAGCCGCCATTACGACAAGCCAAGATCGATCGTTTTCGAGATTGCAGTCAATCTCACTCGACCCCCTTAGTGCAATAAGCGGCGGCCAGAGTGCATAGCACTTGAGTCCAGCGACTGTTAAGCGTTCATGTATGGGCTACAGAGCGGCTGGGGACTAATCATACAAACGTGAATATATCAGTACATGTCATTGCCTTGTGATCGCGGAAAGCCATATTCGTACACCACCAACGCTAACATCTTATTCCACGGAAGTCCTTAACCTTCCTTGACGACCTCCTCGACCGCCTCGTTAAAAATCTGGATTCCCTTCGCGAGATCTTCCTTGGAGATGTTCAGCGCAGGGATGAACCGGATCACCTCGTACACGCTCGTCGTCAGGATGAGCATGCCCTTTTCCTGGCAGCGCTGTGCCACGCGGCGCGCAAGTCCCTTCGGCGCTCCGGGCTTCACGAAGGGATCGTGCGGGCCTGTACCCGTCGGTGACGCGAACTCGACGGCGACCATGAGGCCCTTCCCGCGGACGTCGAGGATGGACGGTGCAATGGCAGGGTTCGCACGTAGCGTGTTCAGGGCAGAGAAGAGCTCTTGTGACCTGTGAATCATATTGTGATGCCGTCAGCGCTCAAGTCGTCCTTGGGGTAAAGGGCAACAAGCGTACCGAGCATTGACGTTCTCAAGCACGTTCTCTTCCTTCAGTACATCGGCGACTGCACATGCTGCCGCGCACGCCACCGCATTCCCTGCGTATGTGCCTCCCTATAGAACACAGTTAAACGCAATCCAGAAAACAATGCCTCACACGAAGCATACCATGGACCCAGGCTTCATCTTGTCCATCACGTCCCTCCGGCTAATGACACCACTCAGAGGAAATCCGTTCGCAAGACCCTGCGGATTACATGTCAGGGTGACCATAGCACATTGGGGGGCAGCAACGTGCCTTCGCAATGATCATAATATCCGGTCGCACGCCAGTGTACTCAATGGCAAAATTCTTCCCCGTTCTACCGTATCCACACTGGACTTCATCGATAATTAGAAGGATTCCCTCCTTATCACATATCTCCCTCAGGCCGCGTAGGAATTCAGGAGGCGCAGGTACATATCCACCTTCGCCGATGACAGGCTCGATAAGGATGGCCGCAGTGTCCCGCGGTGCGGTTTGCTGCGACAGGAGCAGAGAGAGTTGGGAGAGGCAAAGGGAGGAAAGCTGTTCCGGTGGCGTGTCAAGAGGCAGGCCAAGTTGGTGCCAGTAAGGGAATGGGGCGGTGAAGACGCCAGGCTGATAGGAGCTTGTTAGCCAACATGGACGGACGGATACGGGTTATGGGCCGCATCAGTATAGCTATAAATACCAACCATCAACGGGTGCACGCCTTCGCTGTAGATTGTCTTGCTGCGCGTCACGCCCATTGCTCCGAAGGTACGGCCATGATACGCGCCTGTGTATATATGAAATCAGAGTCTACTGAAAATGTCGTGCGTGTGCTTGCTGCGTACCTTGCATCGTGATGATGTTCTGCTTGCCTGTGGCCGTCCTTGCGATCTTGATGGCCGCTTCAATTGCCTCAGAGCCCGAGTTCCAGAAGAAGAACGAGTCAAGGGAAGGGTCAGGCATCATAGGAAGAAGCTTTTGAATAAGTTCAAGATACGGGCCATGGAAAGCGATGCTACACTGAGATCCAGCAAAAGATAAGCGGATCAGCGCTGCGTTAGACAATCAGTAAAGGGTTCCCCCGAACGGCGCACCTGCATATGTACCACTTTCATACACTGCTCTGCGGCGGCTGCGCTGACCTTCGGGTGACAATGTCCTGCACGGCGCATATACCGTCAAAAATGTCCTTTACGCAGCCAACTGGCCGACATACCAAGGCCTGTTACGCCGATGCCGCAGGTGAGGTCAAGCATGCGCTGTCCATTTTCGAGTGTCAGATACGACCCTTCGCCCATCGTGACGAGGGCATCCAACTGGCGGCCGAGGCCCTTCGTAACATATTTCTGGCCAAATTGAACCAGCGATGACGGTTTGGTAGTGGCTGTCGTGGCCATGGTTCTGCGGTATATTTTTCCGCTGCTCGTCGTTGCACAAGCCTTTATAGTCGCATCGGCGGCGCTGAGGGCAGCGCTACGACGAACATCCCTGATACAATGGCGCAATAAATGAGATAAGTGTTTGATCATCTAAATGGTTGATAGGGAGAATGTGGAAATGAGGTAGGGAAGAATGGGAAATGAATACAATGACAGATCAAGCTGAGCCGCTCCTCGAAGTGCCAAGATATCCCCAGTCGCAGTCGCGATAGCAAGTAGTGTCTCCGGAGTAAACGTAGTGAATAAAAAGATGTATTGCCGAACGCGCGAGATCTCGTCTTGATGCACCATTCGTCGAGGCTAACACGTCAGTGAATGCGGCTGAAACAAGAATACGTATTGTGCGAGGATATGGAGATGAGGGTCCCCCCGTCAGGTGATCCAAAGACCGCAGAAGAGAAGACACCCGCTTTGATAGGCGAGAGAGCATGGGAGACAAAAATTACCATGCGGAAAGCATGTGCTCGTCCCTTCGCCTTCGTCACTCAATTAGAATAGTACACCCACGATAAGGAGCTTCGGGTCAAATACTTCAGCGCAGCCGGAGCATGGATCAATGACCCATACCTATGCGGCGTGAATTGCATGCCACGTAGGGGGATGTGAGTGCCGGACAGGGTTGTCATTGATCATAAAAACGATGCTGAGCGCTGAGTTCCGGTAGACGATGTAGCCTGCCTACCCGCGGACAATATTTCCCAGCGCTCATACATTTTCCGCACGGTGGGGCTCGCATTAGAGCCGACATCAAGCTGAAGCCGCTGAGAGTGCAGACAAAGAAGATGAAGACTCACAAGAGGGCGAATCTGGTGCTGACTGGGCAGCTGGCACGCGGAAGGAGTCCGCTACGGGGGTATTGTGCTACACGGGCTGTGGAGAACATGGCGGTAGAGGGGGGAAGATGGAGATGGGCGAGGCATGTATATTTGAAGGACGAGGAGACTTGCTCCGCATCCGAACGCGCCCATGAGGTTATCGACTCGGCTAATCTGTGACTGTGATGCTCCCCGTGACGTCACGCGTGATGCCTCTCCTCGTCGACCCTTGTGAAACGAGTCGTGTCGCTTGCTTGCCGGTGTGGCCGTGCTGCAGTCGCCGAGGTGCTCCTGCCTGACCATGGGTTCCACGAGTCTGCAGCGCTCTCCCGGATCTTGGACATCCACCTGCAGCCGACTTCAACTTGCTGCTCGACCGCGGTATCCCATTCGCTGCGATGTCTCGGATAGCCTCGCTCCTCCACTCGGCTCGCTCCTTAACCCCGTCCGTATAGCCTCCATCATCTAGACAGTCACCAGACAGTCAGTCACCAGACAGTTTGCAGGCGCGTAGTCACAAGGTGTCGGCAAATGACATGGCTGTGGCTAGAAGACCCCAGTGAGCACGATGCTTCACTTGAGTGCTGCAGGTAGGTCGAGGAGAAGAAAATAAGCAACCGCAAGGCGAGATTGACATCACTCGCGCAAAGTGTCAACAACAATTTTGGGGAGGCAGGCTGGTGCACTGACTCTTGTTGACTTGCTTCGGGTCGCTTGTCACGCCTTGCTACATGGTGGCTGATGAAGAACGCCGACACCCGTTCCTGCGATCGCGATTCACCAAATAGCCGACGCTATCTGCCGAGTTGGTTCCAGTTTCCGCAAGTCATGCATTTGTAGGTATGCAGGCGGCAGAATCACACCTCGCGTCCAGCAGGATCTGACATCAAGCTACATACCGGGCTACGATGCAATGGATGCAGACTGTCGGGATCTGGATGGTTGGCCGCGGAAGCTTGCAGCAACAGTCATTCTTCTGGCATTAATGTTTCTCACCTGATCTGGACTGTGCACCTCTTGAGCGCGCGCTTCGTCCGTTATTGCCAAGTCAACACTTGATTATGGTTTTCGAGACTAGATGCATCTAGACCAAATCGGGACGGGCAGGTTCTTATTGCATCTAAGACTGCAGCTTGGAGTCTGGTATGTCCTGGATTGATTCTACTGTCACCTTACCACGAATAAGAATCCTAAATCATATCGAAATTTTATGTAGGCATCGGTAGAGACAAATTGGAGATGCGACTTGCCTTCGACGACATCATGTTTACATTAGCTACCAAGTCCTGCCATCATCCCTAGACGCCATCAGTTGAACGCTCGATTTTTTCTCCACCTCGGGCAGCATTCCCGGTACCAGTAATCTTCTGACAGCAGAGCCCATTGCGAACCGGGGTACGATAATCCGTATTCTATAGAACCAAACCAGAGGTAAGCATTTGTCACTTCCGCTCGTCCCGGAATAAGTATCACCTCAGTAACGACTGTGGATGGACTTCGGAGCTTATGTGACCACGAGTGCTGGACATCCCTCAGACGGACAAAAGTTCCTCGAAAACGAAAGGGCAGGCGGAAATTTAAATATACGGGCACTAAACGTTTATGTACAAAATCCTAGCGTCGAGGAGCCATTCAACTCCCAGTGCTGTGAGGCCTGCGAAACACCAAGGGCTGGAGGTGGCGCGTCCGCAGCCTGGGCCAAATTAGGCAGAAGACCTGCTGTATATGGAAGGTCTATCCGCGGGTAGTGACATCATCCGCACGTCAGTCCCATTCCCTACGCCAACGTCTCTTGGAGAACAAACTCCATCTGCATATAAACCGCTGCAATATTTCTCTCTCTATCTTTTTCACCACCATCAACATGACGAACAAAGAACTCGACCCTTACACCGCAAAGGCTCAGAACGATAACCTCACTCCTCAGGAGAAGATTGAGGGTCTTCACACCATCGTGAATGCCGTCAAGACAGGAATGCTTACTAGTCGCAATGCGACAGGAGCTCTCCACTCCAGGGCAATGGCACCTGTTGGTCGTAAGTGCATATCAAATACTCGTAAATTTCCTCTGACGACCGCATGTCTCACAGCATACAGCCCTACGCAGGCGACACTGGTGTTCATTGCTAATTGCGCTACTGCTAAATTCGACGAACTCGAGAATGATTCTCACGTCAATGTCTCGTTTTACGACGAATCATCGACGAGTTGGGCATCATATTGTGGAATAGCCAAAATCAGCCAGGACAGAGAGAAAATTGCAAAGCATTGGCACGCCGCGTGTGTCTTACTATCCCTGCTTTTCATGATTATACGAAGATTCACACGGTTTTCACGTTTAGATTGGCAGCCTGGTTTGGGGATCTTGGTGATGGCGTTCACAAGGGCGACCAACATGATCCGCGAGTTGCGGTCATTGAAGTCGTTCCGGAGGAGATCAGATACTGGCTCTCTACGCAGGGAAGCGTGGGACGCGCCGTGAATGTCGCATACAGTGCGATCTCGGGCAAAACTGCGGCACCGGGGGAGCTGAGGACGATCACAAAGGATGAGGTGGGTACTATATTCATAATTGGGAAACAGAGTTGTCCTCCTGACGTTGATGGCATAGATTCAATTGCTCCAGGGCCTCCAAACCAAGTAAGGTGTATATCTAGGCACACAGGGAAATTTGATTGTCGGACTGTTGTAGATTATAACGTAACCGTACACACATGTCTGGAGGCACGAGACGAGTATATCTTCCATCTTTTTTTCTGCCATGTTTGAGATGATCTACTAGGCTTGTACAGCTGTAAGGTTTTCGTTATGGCAAACGTAGTGAATTGTCGGACTTGTTCGAGTTGTTGGGTCGTCGATGCAGTCACGTGATCACACATCGGCTCAAGATACAACTTTTCATGCAACTGCACTGTGCAGGCCTACTCTTGATTAACGATCTGCTCTCACGTTGAACCTTGATCTAAGATCCCTTCAAAATACATACTGCTCCAGATGTCTCTATGTTTACCTCTACTCCTGCTTGATTGCGCGTCTGCATGTTGCTTGGTCTCGAAAGACGCAGTTGAGTTAGACTATCCACGAACCTGTGGTAGCCTGATCTGTACGCCACTATTTGACTTCAGACTGGCCTGGTTGACAACGATATAATGATATAACATGCTGTTTCAAAATTATGATATCTAGTCAGCCATATCCAGTCTTAATCAAAATATGAACCCGCGAGGGCTTCTATCCAGCGAGATCAATTTCGCTGCGGTGAGTTGTCGAAATGTCCTCCGTTGGTGATGCCTCCTCGGAGATTTTTTCGCTGTACTCATATCCTGAACCGCTGACGAGAGCAAGTTCGTCCGCACAAGATTCTAATCCCCCAATCACCCCTCCTGACGAGACAGCATTCGTCGGAAGGGGGGGACACGGCGTCGCGAGAGGCAAACTCCATGCGTTACAGGATACTGTTCAGATTAGTTCGACTACGCCGGAGAGATCTCCGCATTTCTTGCGCGAACCTCGCTTGGATGCGCTTGCCGAAGTTGGGGAGCCTGAGCAAGATCCGGAGCCATACGGACCATATTTCTCTCTGCGCCCTGACCCTACTTCGTTCGCAAGTCCTAGCGGGTTGTCTCGTCGCGGGACAACGAAAGAGTTGATAGGTCGATACGAGTCAATTACCTCGCGATCGAATTCTGTCACAACTGCTGTAACGACGGATATTACTCCAAAGGTACGACCTGGTGCGTATCCCGCAATAGAGAGGAAAGAAAAAGGACGATCTCCAATTCGTCAGTCGATCCGTAATATTCTCTCGGTGTTCAAGAAAAACAAATCCGCAAATTCGTGTAAGGAACAAGCAAATTTTGGGAGTCCCGCGTATACGGACCTCGGCCGACAGCGAACCGCTAGCAGCGACACTCGGAGCTCTTCTGTCGCTCCACCCTTGAAGCTGAATATACCCAAGGAGCGGAAAGACTTCAGCCTCTGCCAAACACCTTTGGGTCCCTCCCATGCTCGTCATTCTGGCACGCTTTTCTATTTGTCCCGTCCTGCTTCGCCGATCATACATTCTGTATGGACGAGTTGTGCCGCTACCCTTCATTCAACTCATATTCTTCTTACGTGGAAGACAGCACATGGTAACCCTTCAACCGACATTATATCATTCAAGGAATGCACAGACGTTCGTTCGCTCTCAATATCAGAACTCAATTTGAATGAACAGCGCTTGTTACCGTCGGATGTAGGCGAACTCAAGGTATTTGAACTGTTATTTGAGGGAAGGCCAAGGGAGAAGTTCGCTGCGAACTCAGTCCCAGCAAGGGCGACCTGGGTAAGCGCAATCTGGTACATAATTTCTCATAATTTGGAAGGCTTAGGAGCTGACCCTTTCGAAGGGACGCGATTCTGCAAGCTCAGGATGAGAAGTCTAGCACATCCCGCAACGCAGCCAATGTCGTTAATTCCTTGTCCGAAGAGACAAATTTTGAGTCACGTCGTAGTCAAGAATCGCGCAAAGTATGTATAACACCTATGGACACTGTGAGCAATATGAGTGCAAAGCCAGTCAACAGAGACCGTACACTACCAGACATACCCCGTCGACCCCCCAGCCCGGTTACCCAATCAGCTCCGCCACGTCTCTCTCTCAAGATGCCCCCCAGCACTCCTGGAACTTCCCCTCTGATGCCTTCCGTTATCTCTCCGCTACCCAAGCCGCCTACCACCCCAAATAAACCACCTTTTCTCTCTCCAATTTCGCCACCGCGCTCGCAAAGCCCTTCCATCCGTAACCTTGATCAACGGTCTGTGGTCAAGCAACGCCTCGCACAGCTCGAGAGCGCTCGCTCTTCAACTTCCTCTGTCTACGACCTCGGACCTCCAAGTCCAGTCCAAACGTCTGCTACTCCCTTGCGTACGAGAAACCTTGCTGCTAGGCGAGAGGTTGGTAGGTCATCCTCTCTTCAGGAGCAGCCAGGTCGATCCAAGGCCCACACACCTATCATCGACTCTTATTGTGTCCCAGACACGCCATCCGCTCTGTCGCAATACTCGGGACGCTTGACCTCATTGCCTCCGACCAGCAATACTGCCTCAATAGACTTGGCTCCGTGGATGCGCAGTACAGATGGTTCAGTCAGTCCATGCGAATTGGCTTCATCGGATCTGGGCATGGCCTCACCTGCTTCGAAATATTCTACGGACGAGACGGCAGACCAAGGACAGACGCAGCCCTCTGATGCTCCGCAGCCTGCCAGAGATATTCAGCAGCATCGCCGTCCTATCATTCGTTTGGATACGAGTGCAACGGCGTGGAAGCCACCAATTATCCTGCGTGACGAGCCTCGGCCAGAAGTAGACAATCATCACTCCGCCGACCAGCATGCCATCATGGAGAGGATCGATCGTTCTGTTCAGAAATTGGAGAGGCACAACGAAGCGGATGCAACTAAGCTGGTAGATATTAGGATGAAAGTGGCAGCCACCTTGGAAGAGGTTCGACGCCAGGCCAGGGAGCGTGATGTAGCCGGGCATGTGGACTTGTCTACGGTCATGGAGAAACTAGACATGATTCGCTCCGAGCTGAAAGAGACGAATGAGGCGGAAGAGGCGAGGCTCCAGCCCGCGGAGAGGATCTCTCCAGCTGAATGGTCAGAGCTGCATGCGAAGGTCGATAGCTTGGTCACGGCCTGTCACAACTTGCAGCACACCGAGCTTCCAGACGCTAAAAGTAGTGCCAGCGACGAAAGCAGTCAGCAGGTCAGACTACGTTCTCCCACTATTCAGTGGCGCTACACTCACATAATTATCTGCAGATTGAGGAAATCATTTATCTGCTGAGGGACGCTCAGACCCAGTGGGCTACTCATACCGAGCAGCAGACAGACAGCGTCAGATATCTGAATGAGCTGAACAACGTAAGCCTTGTCTCTTGGAGCGTAGCATGTGGCGCTGATGAAGTAACAGTGGCTTGAGACGTTCGTCAATCACGGTACATCGCAGATCGAAACCGTGGCAGCTGGTATTCATCAACTATGCCAAGATCTGGGATATGCGTCGGACGTACAAGAACTGGCCAATGAAGGAGAGCCGAAATCTTCTGGAAATTTGTTGGCGGACATTCGTCAGCTGTTAATTCAGAATAGAGACCGGGAAGAGAACTCAGCCACGCTCCATGCATCTGTAAATGGGCTTATTGCCGCTGTTCAGGAAGATTTAAGGAAGAACGCAGAGGCACGAAACATGCTAAGTAAGCCGCCGCTATGGTGACTGGGGTGTGTTCTGAAATACACTATATGCAGCGACAGAGTCGGTGGTAGGGTTAATTGATCGACAACGGCTAGATCATGAAAGAATGCTGAGGACCCTCGGGACCGGTATGTACTACCGGAAGCTTGCAGAGCGACGCTAACATCCGACCCCAGAGCTGTCCAACGAGATCCGTGGGGAACGCTTGCGCTTCGTTGAGGCAATGAAAGAGGCAACAGCCATAAACGTACAAAGTAAGCTGAATCGAATATAAAAGCCGCATTGTGTGTGGTAATATGTGTCTCGCATATCGCAGTCCACGTTGAGGAGTTCAAGAAAGAGCTGACCCGAGAGGTGCTCATTATGACCCAGGAAGTAGGAAGGTTGCAGAGAGAGCGACAAGGTCTAGAGCAGCAGATTGCAGATCTGTTTGCTTTTTTCGCGAAGCAAAAGCAAGCAGGAAGCGTAAGTAAAAGGCATTCCTCGTCCTACGTAACCATCTAGAACTCACTGTGTACCCTCAGTTACTCCAGCCAACCTCGCGTCCAAACGTGCAGCCGGCGCGTCACCAGATTCCGATTCCTACGCATATGCCAGGAAGTATGCCTTCTCATGGGCAACGACGTCCGTTACCTAGTCCCACTGTAGCATCAAGGCCAGCATCATCCCTGGCGTAACTCCAATTGTCGATATACTTGTCTATAATTCTGAGCTCTTGAGAATACAGGATTTTCAGGCGGCAGAACCTCTGTAACTGCTCGAAAAATGCCGGACAATATCACTGACCTATATCCCACAAGAGTTGACGGCGTGGGCAGCATCGGAGTCGCCCGTCGCGTCGAACCTATTCGACTGCCGGATTTAGAGCGCAGTGTATTCTGTTGTCATGTGATCGCGTTCTCACCCTCCCGGCATGCTCCGGGACCAGCTCACTCGTTGAGCGCGTTGAGCTCGCTGTCTTGAACGGTCTGTAAAGTCTCTACACTATGTCTGCTCTCCGTCTAGTCTCTTCTGCTGCTCGGCGGGCTCCCAAGGTGTTTACATCTGGCCGACGTGGCTACGCGGAGGCGGCAGATAAGATCAAACTTTCTCTGGTCCTGCCGCATCAAGTCAGTGCAAATCGCCGCCGTAGTGCCATGTACCAGACTGAGCTATCTCATACAGTCCATTTTCACCTCCACAGAAGTCGTGCAGGTGAACATCTCCGCAGCAACGGGAGACATGGGTATTCTCGCGAACCATGTCCCGTCAATTGAACCTCTTCGCCCTGGTGTCGTTGAGGTGATCGAACCTGGGAGTGCATCGAAAAAGTGGTTCGGTGCGTACTTTGGCTTGATATGCATGTTCTTACTGCTCATACGCATATGAAGTCTCTGGCGGGTTTGCTACCGTTCACCCTAACAACTCGCTAACCATCAATGCGGTGGAGGCTGCGCCATTAGAAGACTTCTCCCCCGAGGTTTGTCTTTGCTGTTACGCTCCAACACTTTACATTTTAAGTTTGCCCGTTGTCCACTAGGCTATCCGTGCGAACCTGCAGGAGGCATTGAAGGTTGCGGCGGGGAGCGGGTCGGAGGAGGACAAGATGGAAGCGCGCATAGAAGCGGATGTGTATGAAGCGTTGCAACATGCTCTCGGTTCCAAGTAAACACTCTTCTGGTGTCCGTAACATAGATTACATTTGCCCTTGTGCTACCTATGTCCCCTGCACCATTGACGGATTTTGGTGTGTGCCGCGCCATTTCGGGCGCTTGTGATACGTCTGTCATACCCGCAATCTCATCTCCGTGGTTCGTATCTTCTTCGGGCTCATGCAACCCCGGAGAATACACCACACGGCCCAGTTTTTTCGGTTTCCTGGGAGTTTCTCCTGAGAGTTCATCACGCCAGACAAGGTGTAACCCATATCCATTGGCAACTGTCATTTGACTTTCGCGGTCACGGTCGTTCCGTCCGTTGTTCAACTCGCTCCTCGAAACTACAGATTCAGTAAAACATGAGAGTGCCTCAGTCTTGGAATGATGCAGGCTTACTGCAAGACGAGCCTCTTCTTACTCACTTTACAGTGCGCGACCAACAAATCGCGTCACCTGGCCAACGAGGCGCAATTGACTGGAGCCCGGCTTTCATGCAAGAGTTCTTGCACTCAGACGTAGTGAGTCTACCTTTTGACTCGGATGACAGTGGCTCATCTGAACAGCTGGCCGCCACGGCTGAGTGGCTTCGGCTCGCATTTTACGCCTGTCAACGCGAATCTGCGGATGTTCAATCCAGGAAGTTCAAGGGCCCGCCTGACAAGTCAGATATACGTTTGTTTGTCGAGTTTTATTGGCGCCTTCGTCAAGATGTCAAAGTGAACGGTGACAGCTCGCGAAGATTTCTCATCCAGAAGCGACGGGAGCGTGGATACCAATACGAGCCTGACGAGGAGATTAGAAAAGAATATGCAGACAAGCCCCATGGCGTAGAGGAAGGTGGCAAAGACAATTGCAAGAGCTTCGCAATGCCAGAACAAACGGCCGCATTCCATCGAGTTGATCGCACACGCCAGGGGAAAGGCCAACGCCAGTCTTGCGATTTGGGAGCGAGTGGTAGAAGTACCAATCCGGGCAGGACAGATCCTACACATGCTCAACAGAGAAGATGTGCTGCCAAACTATCTCCTCGAGACGAGACCGCCCATGTCAGCGAATCCACTCCGCCGACCAAGAGTAGTAGCAACGACGGGGGACAGAGAACAAGATCTAGACCAGGCACACGGCCCACGAAGACTCGAACTCCTCGTAATCCGGGAAGTACTAAATCGGATGACTCCACTCGCTCGTCAAAAAGGCGTCGCGATAATCTTGGTGAAATTGCTGTTGGTGGCGTCAACATACCCAAAAAGAAGATGGACGAACACCAACGGAATCCCATCAAGGACGTCAAGGTTCCTGCAGCCACAGATAAAATGTCTTCGGTACGAGATGCATGTACGATCCAAAATATAGTGCTTTTATCGTAGGTCTGGCAGAACCCGATCCCCACCGTGATGAATAACCGTACAAAAAGTGATACAGTACACGTTGATGCCGGACATACACTGACTCGGCCTAAGAATGAATCCTCCATGAGCTCAAACAGAAAGCGCCGCCGAGAGGTCTTCGAAATGGCACAAACAGGATTAGCGAATCCAAGGTAAATCGATCTTTTGGCCGGCCCTTCAATTCTGAACTCATCCAGTAGATCAACTCGCAAGCTAGTACCGACAGGTCAACAGCGAAGCTCACCGAAGACTTATGGTCATGATGGGTCCATCACTTTCCATGACATGGATACCAATCTTAGTCAAGCCGCGAATGAGGCGTCGACGGTAGCTCAAAATAGTGTTGATCCTCTAACCGATTTTGAAGAGGAGGATCCAGCGGAAGGTCAAGATGAGCCCCCCAACTCCAGCGATGACGAATCTCCCTTGAACCCTGCTGTCTATCGCCGTAGATCTGGATTGCCAGACTTCGATCTCTCAGACAAATATTCTCAGCTTGCTCAGGGATATTCGTCTCTGTCAAATCCCTTGCAAAGCTCGGTCCCATATACCCCGCCTGTTATTAGAGAATTTGTTCAGAAACCTCGCTTGTTTCGAAAGCCACCTATTTGGGCAGAGGTTGGTCGACATTTGTGTGATTTCGTTAAGATGCTGACATGAATGATCATGAAGTCAAGGCAAGAAGTATGCGAATCTTTTGACTGGTTTAGAAGCTACCAGGGTGGTGTCTACTTCATGAAAGATATGGTAAAAGGCTACTTGCTAAGCGCCTTTTCGTCCAAGTGAGAGTTAGTAATTTCGGTTTTACGCTATCGTCTCATTTCAATACAGCCGCGATCTTTTTGCTCATGATGGCCGTCTGATTATATCTCACGGGTGGGTACTGTCACTCATTCCTCACTCAAAGTTGGTTTACGATATTGATTTCATCTGCAGTGGTGGGAAGGCTGAGAGCCTTCATACCAAAGAGGGGCAAACGGAATCTCATGAAGCAGATGACCAACTGGCAGGAGATAAATCTGTTAGGGCCCTCTTAAACACCTATCACCTCCGCCGTCCACTAGTCTTGATAATCGATGACAAATATGCCTCATTTCCGTATGACCTCTCAGCGGATGGATATACGTATGTCGTATTGGGGTTTTATCGTATCGCACATGCATGGGGTGTGTCTTCCTCGACAACACTCTTTTATTGTTCTTCTCTGACCATTCGTGTAGCGGAGCAACAGCCAGCCAATAACACACGAGGCTTTGTAGTGCGGTACAAGTTTGCTTTTCAATGGTGCGAAGAGCAGGGAGGACCGTGGTGGATCAATGTGCCAGATCCGTGTGCGCTCGGCTCCAAATTTCAAGTTGGTAAGTACGCACTCGCATCCGCCCTTCACAATCATCCATGGATAGCATCGAATCATTTCAGAAGAAGCGCTCAGACATCAAGAGACTACGTCATCCAACGTCTCCGGTGGTGAAGCGTCGGCTGCGAAAGAGTTAGTTGAAGCATTGAATGACACCAGGTAAAGAAGATATACATAATTCACATTATGACCTCATCGCGCCTTTTCCACAGCTCAACTTCAGTATCCGAGTATCCCAAGACTGGACGTGTATGCTCCATGTGCCACGACTTGTCGCTCACGGTGTATGCACAACATTGGATGTGTTTACAGCCTAGATGTAGCGCATTCTGGAAAACGGCCAAGGGCGAGTCTCCAAGTGCGATTCTCGACTATGCGGAAGGCTTTCTGCAGTTGCTGCCTTACTCACCGGTACGCCTGGGAAAGCTATCTCCCCCTCTCCCAGTCACAAAGTCCCCGGATGGTATCACGACCAGCCGTGCTTTCTGTAAAGGGTGGCACTGTACGGCATGTGGGAGGCTATCCAGCAGGTAAGTACAAACTATCCCGTGCGGATCGGACCATATCTCAACGTCTTAGGTATAAATGGGAGCATTGGGAATGTAAAAGCTGCAAGGTGTGTAGTGTATATGTGGTATTAAAGAACCAGTGCCTAACACTTATCCAGAACATTCATACGATACCGGGACGAATACGACATCCAAAGGAGTTCTGGCATCAAAGGGGCCCAGTCGATTTTTTACATCACTGTGTGGCGAACCATTCAGGTATCTTTTTTTGTATGATATGAAGGCGCCAATTTCATTCGATTTTCAGGCATTATCGTAACCGATATGAAGTATTATAAAACGGCTGAGGGTATCAGTTTCTATCATCAGTATATTCTCCCCTATAATCGGTAGGGCATTGTGATGGCCTTTGATCTCGTTCTGACTGTTTTGTCAATGATGGGAAACAGAGGCTCTATATATCTGATCACTGGCAGGCAGACAATAAACACCATGGCCGACAAGATTTTCAAAGAATACCAGGAACAAGGTGCGAAGGGGGAACTGCTATTTCGTAGATGGCCTTTACGAGCGGTATGTGCGCCAATTATCATCTTGCGTGTAGCCATGAGCCAAATCGTTTTATCCACTTCTGGAATAGCACAAATGTAAGTGAACTTTTACTGTCATTGGAACCGTCAGGCTAATGTTGGTCAATAGGCAGAGGCACGTTGTTGACCAATTATTTTTCTCAAAATAGTGAGTCCAATGTACCCACCGTTTACATGGATTATCTGACTTTAAACAAAGCTGGCGAACCGTATCAGGTAGACAATTCCTTACGCCAATCTGCTTAAACTGATAGCCTAGGTAGTATGTCGGAGGAACGAATAATACCGTCTCTTGGAATGTAGCTCCTACGGCTGTCGTACAGGCGCTGAAACTAATTCAGCAGCGTATGAAAGACGCACTTAATATGACGTCCAGTTTCAACGAGGTGCTTAGCGCTGCATATATGGAGAAGCAAAAAATGGCTGTGAGAATTTCGGCCTTCCTGACTGCGCTGCACTCACTGCATTACAACACAGTTCCACAGCGATAGCGAAAGAGGACTGGGACCGACTGTGGCCTCTCTCTCTCTCGGGTCTGCTGCGTATATGCACTTTCGTTTACACGCCCAGTACAGCGATGATTTGGGAAAAGGGTCCTCCAGGAATGCGCTAACCCTCTACCTTCGTCATGTAAGTCCTCATGTCACAGTTCACATTGTCCATAAATTGACTCCCAGATAGGGTGATGTTGTAGTCATGGCTGGCGATGGCGTGCAGAAATTCTATGAGTACGCTGCGGTTGCTTCATATCTCAGGATTAAAATTACTGAATGATCCCGCGTAGACACACCGTCGTACCAGTGAACTTTCGCATTGCTGCGACGGCGCGCTCTATTGATAGTTCTAATCATTGATCAAAACATTGGTGCACAAACTGTGCTCGGGGTAGATACAACGCGCTCGAGATACATTATATCTTGATAATAGTGTAATTGCCATCAAATCCACCTGCCATCACAGTGCCCTATCTGTTTCCTGAACCGATGGGAACTTTCATTTTGCATCTTAGTCTGTGTCTAATTTCTTGAAGCCTTGAAAGTATTTCTCGCGAAAGTCTCTGTGAGCAGGTACATGGGTGTCAGATTCCGATTTGGATGCCGCTGACTCGAATGTCGGAAGGGGATAATGTTGAGATGTTGACTTGCGAATTGTTATAAGCTATGTCCAAGTCAGCAAGACAGTCATGAACTATAAGATACATTCGGACTAACTCGACGTCCCCAAGATCCAAAATTCTGGAGCGAATTGGCCACGACTTCCATGCCCTCACATAACATGGCCTGAATGTCCAACTCTTCATACTCATCTGTAACAGTGGGTAGAAAAAATACAAGTCGTCCACGTGGTTTTAGCATATAACGTGCGAGGAGTACAAGATCAGATGCGAGCGAGGACAATTCATATGGTTTAGTCGGAGGAATATATGGTTGATCATTACTACAGTCATTCATTACTCACACCAGTGACCAGTGACAATGTGGAACACTTACTCCCGAACAGGGTGTGGAGATTCTCGCACTGTGACATTCTGTGGTGTCTTACCTAGACGAGGTTTTCTGCCCAGCCTCTTAGCACCAGCTCTCACACCATCTATCTAGGCATAAACTGTCGTGCCAACAACGAAGAAATCAAGGAGTGCTTACATGGTGGGTCCGTAATGATCGCATCGAATAGGTCCCCGCATCTCCAGGGGTTGCGCGTGATGTCAAAGGTGCATAAATCAATAATACGAGGAGCTACCCCGTATTGAGAAGCGGCGCGTATAATTCCTGGCTGTCTGTCTACGAAGGTAAGTACGAGCGTGGATTTGTTGAACACCAACTAACCTTTGCCTCTCATTTGTCGGCCATCAATGTCGGAACCGAATACCATCGCACCAAAATGCGCGGTTGTCTAATTAGATGACTCAGATAAGACAATGATCCAACATGAATCCAGTAGCGGAAAGTACTCACATATGCCATGCTTCCAGTACCGACAAATGGATCATAAATCAGCTTTCCTGGAGCAGCCTAAAAAGTAGAGCCAGATCCATGCAGTAACCATAAAGACTCGACCGGCATACAAGTGTCTGATTCGCCATCAATAAAGATATTTCTGCTTCCATGCTCGTATTGCCATAATAAACTCTCTTCTTCACGTCGAACGTTTTGAGTAGCATACGAGCCGAGCCCTCTTCAATCTGAGTTTACGAGGGCGAGATATCAGATTTCATCGAGATAGTTTAGTGGATAACATATGATGCAATGGCCGGAACGCACCAACCTCCCAAAGAAGACCTCTTTGAAATCACCATCGCCTTCGTGCTTGTCGCGCGTTGTACCGCGTTTGTCAATGTCTACATCCAACACTCCGGAATCAGCTGATTGCAAGACATAGCCGCTACATTTCAAATTCTACTTCTACTCACATTCTTCAAAGCAAATCATTGTGATTTCGGGATTTTTCATATCGATCTTGCCGAGGAGGCCCATATACGAAAAGCTCTCAACTACATCTCGTTGACGCTCTTGAGGTATGGAATGATTGTATGCTGTTACAACAAATTTGAAAGAAGTATTCTCGATAAATCGCTCCCATTTCGGCCGGCATGCGCAAGTCTCGGCATGCACTGCGTCATATGTAGTTCCCCGAGCATAAAACTCGCAGACAAATCTGATTTACCACATATCAGTATTAGAGAGTAGGATACACGACAAAGTCCGTGTACTTTATAAGTATACATCTCTTTGCCAGAATTCTAGCGTGTTCTTCACTTGCAAGCCTCAAAACCATGAATGGGCGAGATATATCGATGTTGTTCGAAAATTTGATTTCAAAGTCGTGTAGCTCTGCTATGGACAGTAGCTCAGGTATTCTGAATTCATCATGAGCTTGTGCAAAAGCGAATAGGAATTGGGACCACATTTCGGATTGTGGAAGCAGTGAAAGTCCAAGGACCCGTATCCGAGTTTCTACCCGAAAGGGAAATGAGATATTTGGCAACAGCCTTTGATCCAAACATACACCCGCCACAGGAGCAGGAAATGGTTCACGCCCACGCTCACTCAACCGCATTCAGTTTGTGATCGATCACTCATGCTTCATACCCCACAGATCACGTCAGCTCTTAAAGAACACTAACTCACCTTTCCTTTGCAACATTTGAACGGGGTGAATCCCGGATCCATGACGCTCTCGCAAGGCCTTCTCCCTGTCATGCTGGCCGTGCTGTCATCTATACAGTCAGACGAACGTACGTTCTCCCCTAGTCCCAGTTAAATTTTCTATAAAGCATATTTCAGTAAACGACGAAACAATCGAAAAGCTCCGTTTCTTTTTCCCTGACGCCCTTTTGCAGTCATCCTTGGACCTGATTGATCGGCAGAGTGGTCGGTTCATTTACATTATGATTGTTGCGTATTTCAAAGCTGATACAACCTCAGTGATAAAGTATACGACACCTTGGGGACGAGAGCAATACGAAGTGCTTGGATCGACTGCTACATACGTCGTATTTCCTGATATGCTGTCCTGCGGCACTATGCCTAAAGTATATTGTACGTGCGCTGCGTATGCCTACTATACCGTTTTATCTGAGTCGCACTACTTGGTATGTTCCTGCTGTGTTCTGTTACGAAACGATTTGACGACGGCAATCACTTGCCAGTGCAAACACCTCCTCGCAACGCTCCTGGCGAGGCGACTGTCGCGCTGTATCGAGCGGCCCATCACTCAAGACGACTTCGCAAGCCTAATCGTTCGGCAGTGCTCAATGACCTAATAGTCCACGTTGACTACGGAGCTTTGAGACATCTTACTGTAATTCTATAAAGCATAGCTCAAGTAGGTAAATTATACGCGTAAACTATGCGCATGTTACACTTAGCCATTAGTATAGTAACTAGAAAGCTCTAGAGAAAAGGGTTGCACCGCTCCAGAGCAGTCTGCATATTGGTAGCCTACTTTGTTTCCACTACCACGTCTGCCTCCACCCGACGCACTCTCCATTGCAATAGCTCCGCATAGCCTTTTAACGATTTGACGAGGGCCTGAAGCTCGAGCTTGGATGGGCCAAGGCGATGCCCACCATCGTGTAATCCTGCCGAGTCTACCTCATTATCGTCATCGTCCGAGAGGTCAGACAACGGCGATGGTTCGCGTGATCCGACCAAACTACTCGCGATAGTGGACGAGTCAGTGATGCTAGCCTGCTCATCATCCAATCTGATTTTCTCGATGTCGTCAAAGCTCCCTGGTTGGATTAGCTCGCCCTGGTGCGTGATCCAATCCGCAATCTTCTTGATCTCCTCTGGTTGCCAGAAAGCCCACCAAGTCTCCAATTCGTCGTCATCGTCGTCATCGTCTTCGGTCTCGTCGTCTGGGTTCTTAGCCTTAGCCGCCCCACTAGGGAGCTTTCCCCACACGGCAATAAACCAGGACCACCTGTGTAGGTCCCGCCGCTCGTCTTCAGTGAACCCGCCGCGCCGTCGACCAATCTTCACTTTCCGATCTTTGCCCGCGATAAGCTGCATCGCTGCCTCTCTTTCCGCCTCTCCAGGGCTCAAAGCGTAATACATTCTGCCTTCATGATCTCGGCCCAAGGGACAGTAACGCAGCGAACACGACGCCAACGCAACACGATGCGCATACTCCAAATCTTCGAGAGTTTGCTTATGCTTCATGCGTTCTAATTTCATCATTGCTTTGGTCAAATTTCCATTGGCCTTGAAGTCCTTCCACCTTGTGTTCTCGTTGACAATAGCTTCGCGAACATCTTTGACCAAGTCTTTCTCTAACGTTGCACCCCGATCCAAATCGTCTCGTATAGGCTGTGTGGTCAAAGTAAATTCAATGAGGCGTGCAATAACGGGTATGAGTTGTGCTGCGGTTGCAACAAACACTCCTGTATCCGTCGCGCCACCCTGAAGGCCACTGCGTGTAGTTCTGTACGTGGCTGACGCCGGTGGTGGGAGGGGATCATCAAATCTGACTAAATTTGATGATACAGACCGCAAACCGTCACGTAGTGTTGCCAGAGATGCCCAGACTCGATTCAGATTGGCACCAGAGGCTTTGATTCCCTTAATGGCATCCTTGATGATTTTGGATACTGGCTGGCTCTCGGAGCTCTCCGCTATAACTGAAAGGAGTCCAAGAATAATAGCCTTCGCACAAGCTTCACTGACCCACCCAGAGAGTTCTTCGTCATCCTCAGGGGTTCCATTTACACCAGCAAGAACCTCCAGCTCGTCCAAATAACTCTTGCCAATATTAAGGACCACAGAGAACCTTAGACAAAATTCTCGAATGTGTATGCGTGCCTCTGCGGTGTCCTGATTGAGCAAAACGGGAACACGCCTCCACACAGGCTTGGGTGATGGCAGCTTCCGTAACCTTGCAGCGGGTCTTCCTGAAATCGCTTTATCCCCAAGTTTCTGTGAGGACTTTGTGGCTCCTGTCACCTTCAGTTTCGTAGACGAAGCGGAATCAACGCGTGCTTGTGACTTGATCTTCTTGCTTTTCTCTTTAGGAGATACCTGGTGGCCCCTACCCGGCATAATTCCCTACAAGATGGTGAGCACGGAATTTGAATTCCGTCTATCTAACCGACTCACAATTGCATTAGGATCCTCCGACAAGAATGCGGAGGCAGATTCTTTGCCCGTCCGGCGAGCAAGCAAGGTTAAATTCCTGCATTTAACACACTCAAATTCAGAAACAAGGCTCATATAGTGAATTCTGCGAGCTCACCCCGTGGGTTCGAGGCCTTTTGCCTTACGACAAACACGGCAGTTGCACTCGTCGCGACACTTGGGGCACCTACGGCTCTTCGTGAGTGTGGGAGTACCCAAACAGCATATGTACAGACTTATAATGGTATCCCACATTGGCCACGTGTTTCCCTTTGTCCTTCTTGGAAACATTCGACGCGTCTTCTTTCTTGATGTCCTCGAGGACTTGCGCATACCTGTTTTTGAGGCATGCTCTACAGTATTTGGCTTTGCATCGACCGGCGCTTCGCGCAGACGTTAGAAAAGTGCACTGAACTCCATCTTTCCGTGATTATCAGTAACTTCATATGCAGTAGATTAGACAGGCCATGACAGACCTGACGGGTCTCGCTTCTTGTTACATTGGTGACAGTGAAAGAAGCCATTGGGAAACTCTGCAGAATGATCTTATATCTAGGTCGCCTCTCGTTGATTTTCTAACAGGAGATATTAACGTACTTGTATCTTTCGGTTTGCTTGTGTTGCCCCTCGCAGATGCATCAAGTTTAGCCTTCTTTGACTGCGGCATTGTAAGCTCCTCGCGCCCAGACATCTTCCGTGACGCGTCCGAGAGCTTTCGCTTTCGGGTGTGCGAGGAAAGACTTTTTGCAGCCGCGGCGCCGCTGCTGCTTTCCGTTCTGGAGTGCTGTAGAGGCATGTTCTCCTTGAGGCTGGAGGGTGTACTTGTCCCGCTGATACGCGACGAATGGAGCGGTGAAGGAGGAATTTCAACAAAAAGCTGTCGCGTTTTATCAATAACGTGGTTTAAAGGGCGCGACCTAGAAGAGGATAAGGGCATAGCAGTGGTTGTGAAGGAGCAGTTCAAGACATTGCGCGCCACAGCGCGACTGAATGTCACGTGAAGCGTGTCTGCACGTGATCTCAACCGGCCCTTAACGCCATGAAATTATCGTGGCCACCGCCTTAGCCAGCAGCCACATTGCTCACTCAGTAGTGTCATCGTCGCTTGCTCACCGCCCGCTACACTTAGTAACACAACACTATGGCCCACGCAGATCATACCCGAGACCCCTGGTTAGGCCTTATCCTATCCCTTTGCACTTTTTTAGAACTAATTTGTGCCACGCCGCTCCGGTAGTCCATGGGTAATTCTCTCCGACTTCGGCAGTGCATTTGCGATGGGCGCAGTTGGCGGGACGATTTGGCATGGCATCAAGGGTGCTCGTAATTCGCCACGGGTAAGTCGAGAATGCTTTTGCCAGATGTGTTTTGTTTATACCCCTTAGGGCGACCGCCTGGTGGGAGCCGCATCTGTTATCAAAGCCCGAGCACCTGTGATTGGCGGAAATTTCGGTGTTTGGGGTGGTCTGTTCTCAACATTTGATTGTTCCATGAAGAGTTGGCGACAAAAAGAGGACATGTGGAACCCAATCATATCCGGGTTCTTGACTGGGGGTTGTCTAGCAGCACGAAGTAAGCAATTCCTCCATGTAGTCCTGACTCTCAACCTGAAGACACGGCACCTGTTTGCCGATGAGCTGTCCAATACCATAAGTTATATATGAAGCCGAATCTAGCTAATTCCTGACTACAGGCGGCCCTCGCAATGCTCTCGGTTCCGCGATTGCCTGTGGTATCCTTCTTAGTGTATTTGAGGGTGTCGGCGTTCTTGTTTCTCGCGTTTTCAATGATGCCACGCGACCTCAGCTTCCACCAAGTAAGCATGTTGGCTTGATGTTGTGTATCACAAGGTGCTGACTGTCTGCTGTGTAGTACCCGAAACCATGCAAGCTCAGCCTTCATGAGTAACACTCTTATCGGATATATTAGATGTATACACCGGTCAACGTCCCTTACCTCTCGCTACTCACTGTTATTTTACGACCCGACCTGCCATCTAACCAGACTGTCTGTGGACAAAAATTAGGCAAACATCCGAGGGACATCAGATAGTTGAAGAAGGCAAGAATATTCAATGTTGCCACCTTTTTTACTTTCGATAATCCGTCGAATCTCACAACGAGTATGTCTTCGTCCGCACTCAATCTTAGAATAATGAAATACTGGATTAAATCTATTCATCTCGGGGGGAACTTATTAAGCTCCTCTTCTAAGATAGCAACCTCCGTCCTGAGGTCATTTATTTGGGCTTTTTGTTTCATGATTGTGTGCTCCAAGCCGGCGCACGTCTTCTCAGGAATGAGTAGCACTCGGTCGTCTATTGTACGAGTTAGTAGGTCCTGGATGGATGTGTTCAATTTGAGACAGCTTCTTAAACCTGAAAGGATGCGGCTAAAATTCTGGGACGTACCTTCAGATCTCTACGCAGCCCCTGGCCAACACGATCATAATCTTTCCACCACTTCCGTTTTGCCCGTTCGAAGTGGTCAATGGCCCATTTGACTCCAACAGCTGTGCTTAACATGCCTAATCCAGTGGCAGTATCCATTGATATTGCCATATCCAAAATTCCCAATTGTCCCGCCCATCCGGCCCATGCAATAGCCATCCCACCAAATGAGCTGCCACTTACAGCCAGCAGAGTGTGCCGCGCAGCGGTCTGGAGTCGGGTGGTGGGGAAGTGGAACTGTCGACGACGTGCCCGTATTGGCGCGGCGAAGGAAGACACGTCCATAGAGAATGCGGGAGCAGAAGACACTTGCGAAATCGTATTTCGCAATACCGGTGAATTGAAAGGAGATCGAGGTGAAAACGATTTGAGCAATCGTTCACTAGAAGCATGAAATGACTGCTGCAAGGAATACAATCGACCGGCGTGAAACGCAAGCTAGATAGCCGAGGCTCGATGTGAAATAAGCTGGCAAGTTAAATGACATACAGACTCACCTGGTAATCCAAGTCCTTACACCATACCTGATCGACTGCAGCGGTTACTGTCCCCGCTACGTCATCAACTCTCCATAGGAGCTTCCACCACACGAGCGCATCCATTACCGTCCGGATGTTCCTCCTCGACTGTTCGATGTCCTTCGCAACCTCGTTACCTTCAACACCCAAGACATCCTTCCCTGCCGTTGCCTTTACCTCCTCCATGCGGCCACGCAACGAGCTAATTTCGGTACACACAGCGTCCGTCTCAGCGCGAGCATCATCTAAGACTTTACGACACTTCGCCAGCGAGTGCAATATGATTGAATGAGCAGTTTCCATGTGCAGAGCTTCGACAGCTGTGGCCGAAGGATACACCTGTAACGCATTAGATATCGCGCTAGCCACATTCTCCGTAAGCTTCGAGACGCCGGATGCGTCGAAATTGTCTTGAAACCTCTGCACTATCAGAGGTGAAGAAGGACTAGAATTTAGAATGTTCAACGCGTTGAGAGCACGCAAAGGGTCAATGCATAGAACTGGAATATCGATACCGCACAGCGATTGAACGCGCTCTACAAGCTGCGTCGATTCGGTAGTGGCGTTGAGCGCAAGAACAGCATTTGGATGGTTTAGAGGGAGGAGCGAGTGGCCAGATGCGGATAATAAGGACGAAAGCGGTGCCAATGCAGGGTTGCAAACGATTATAGGAATGTCGGCAGTAAGGAGCAGGCGCAAAATCAGCTCTTCAGTCGGGGGACGAGAAGCCGGCTCAAGTTCTACCAGTTGTAAAGGAGCCCCGAATTGTTGTAACCAAGCAGATTGGATGCGAGGGCTACTAGAACCGTCATATTTTGGCGTGCCGTATCTCCGGATGACAAGTTGTCTAATAAGACATGTAGTATTCAAAGAGACTACTCACTGGATGGTGATGAACCCCTGTCCATCTGAAGTGTGCTTCCATCGGGTATCAACGCTTTCTCTCTGTGATTCCGATGCGAAAGGTTCCTGTAGCAAAGCAGCGACCAGTGCTCTGGTTTCCGCCGAACTGTCACATCCATAAACTGTGAAAACAATTAATATTGACTCGTCTCGGGTGGTTGTTTAGACATACTCGCGACGCGAATCCTGTCTGTTTCTCTAGCTTCTGGTGTTGGGCACAGGTCATCGTAGGTGGTTGCTAGCAGGTCCTCCCAAAACTCCAGAGTGTCCACACCTGATGATTCATTCTGTCTTGGAGGAAGAACTCTGGGCAGAAAAGATCTCGTCTTGTGCAACACAGTAAGAAGATGGCTACGGTCGCCTGCAGAGGAAGAGGTCGAGGGGGCCTGTTTTTGGGCTACAGCAGTTGATGCCGCTCTTTGAACCCTCCTACACCGAGTATGCCTGTGAGTTATAAGTCTTCGAACAATGGCAGTCGCATCACGATGGCCACCCAAAGACAGCAGTGAGGGATGCACAAGACATGTCGGCATTGAGAGACTTGCCTTCAAGCAAGCGCCCGACTCCCTTTCATTGAATGCACTCAACGATCGTACTTGTGATCAGAAAACCTACATAGAATAAATAGTAGCACAGGCTCCGTGATATACAAGACACCGTAAATGATAATAAATCCAATATTAGAGCTACAACCAAGGAGAAATACGTATGTCACCCAGCAGAATGGAATGGCGATTGAGTCTCTGTGTCAGTAACAATAATTTTGGGTGTCCCAAGACCAAGTGCCGGTAGACCTGCAGAGTGTGAATGACTCTCTTCTTCGTCACTTTCATCTCCTAGTCCGAAAATCTCTTCACCCTCATCCCAAACGTCCCCCAAACGAACCATTCCAGCGCCCGTCTTCGCATTAGCTCCCTTCTGGGTATTACGTGGGGAATGTGGGATATAATGGCTCGGTAAGAGTTGCATCGCGTCGTCATCGTCATCGTCCGACAAAATGACATCCTCGTTCAATGGTTGATATAGGCGCAAGATCTAGCCCCGCATGAGGCTGGCACACAGATAGAAATGCATGGAGCTCGTACCTCACGTCTATGCCTATAATAGCGTTCGAGATGATATGAAACGTACAATCCTATACTAGAACCGAGAAGATTCGCCTATTTCAAGATTAGCCACCAATAACTATCACGCGCTCAGGCGACATAACACATACCGCGACATCTCCTATCTGAAATTCCTTATACTGGATGCAAAATGTGCGTGTTATATGTAAGGTACGCGCTAGCATATCGCCATGTGTACACTCACCGGTAGCATTGATTGCACAAACTCGCTGATAATGCCTCCCAGGAAGAAACAAGTAATCCCAGTGAAGATGAGAGGTGAACTACGCCAGAACCAGATGCGTCTCGCGTCACTTTGCAGCCACGCAGAATTTCTTTGAATACAGGGAACGAGCTTAATTGGCTGAGACTCACTCCTCGACGTCGAAGATGAAGTAAAACACTGCAGTGGCGATGCACAAACAGGAGAAATGAATGAATTTGTCGTTCAATGGGAGCTCATGCGAGAAGTTGGTGAAGCCCAGGAACCCAAGCACCAGCATGATGAGAAGGGTGAATAAGATAAACCACTAATAAACAGATGAGCATAAGACGCAAGGAAGCGAGCAAACAGCTTACCGGTCGTAGGCGAATGGGCATATCATACATGGGTAGGTGAATACGATGTGAACGCATGATTGCTTTGTTGGACCTGCGAATATGCCTGCGCAAATTTCGGGACGTTCTGGTCCACACCGAATCGGAGGAGGCCCCAATAGTAAGTTCAGACATCTTGTAGGGCTAGAGCATACCAGATGGGTGTTTCAATGGAACCCCCAGCGCAAGCAAATGCGGCTGAAAATAAGACACCAAATGCTGTTACGACGTTGCTGTACAAATCACCTTGGAGAGACTGGAATCAGTGGCCGTGTTAGCGCGTCAGCGACATGGAAACTTAGACTGACCGGAATTGCCGGTGCTGACCGGCAGTGCGCAGTATCCTTAGGCTCTTAGAGTATGATATAACTACACATTAATCGGCAATATCGGTTAGGCTGTCAGTAGGTAAGTTTAAATGCTAATTTAGTTATTTGTGCAGTACACTAGGATTAAAATATGTTATCTATATTAGCCCATGCCTATTTTAGAAATCCCGATTGCGGACCTTAAGGCTGCCCGCACATTGCCATCTGCGCCGCTCAACTTCCGCGCAGACAATATTCATTCATGTAGATCGCAGTTTCCTCCCTCCCACCACGTACTGTGAACTATGTCGTCCGCTACTCTGCTCTCTTCCCTAGCCAAGTTCTCTACTTGCGAGATTTCTGACGCGCTCATCAAAATTGGATTTCCCCATGGCGGACACATCCCGGATATTCACATGTTCTCGCCGCAGTCTAGCGGTTCAGATGTGCGTGTCTGTGGGCCCGCATACACTGTCCAGATGGTCCTCGCATCCGACGAGACTGCCCCCAAGCCTGCAGCCCACTACGTGGATGCCGCACCAGAAGGCTCTGTGATAGTCATCGATGCTCCCCGTTCAGTGTCTTTTCCTTTCTGCTTTGAAGCAGTAGCTCATGCGAAGACTCCCTTCTTGCATGTCGCCTTGATGCTACTCCTGTGATCTTCGTCCTCAGCAGAGACGAAGAATGCAGTCTGGGGTGGTCTCATGACGGCAGGTGCCAAAGCTCGCGGCGCTCTAGGTGTGATTATCTCAGGTCGCTGTCGAGACCTCGCAGAGCACCGCAGCGCTGGCTTCCCCGTGTTTGCACGAGGTCATTCTACTCTTGGCCAGTCTCCCTTCACGCGACCGTCGGCGCTCAACGTCGCTCTCACAATTGCGCCGCAGCTGACATTGGAAAATGCGGACGCATTCGCCGCAGTTCGGATCGAACCAGGCGACTACATGGTCGCGGACGAGGATGGCGTTGTTTGTGTGCCTCGGGGAGTTGCCGATAAGGTACTACAGTTGGCTCAGAAAGGCAGGGAAGTCGACAGCAGGTGCATGGAGGACATCATGGCGGGTTCTGGTGTTCAGGAGGCATTTAGGAAACACAGAGGGAAGCTCTGAAGAGGGTATTGACCCTGAAATGATCGTACAGACTCCACAGTCTAGGTAGATGTATACAGGAATGAACAGAAGCAATTTCAAGTCGCATCAAAAATGCGGGAGGGACAGCGGTGTCATGGATTACAATGTATCCTGCACCGAAATGACAGCGCGTAATATTCCGCCAGACCCACCAATCTGTATACGGATATGCAAAATACCTTCTTCCAGAGATACATGATCACCAATAAGATAGCTCCAAGAAATTGCTACAAACGACAGTTCTAAAATGTGTCTTACTGGGATACATTCAAATTATATCTTAGTGGGCAGGAAGTCCGGGACCTTCCTCACGCCTCGTTCTCTGTCGACGAAACGAAGTAAGTTGATGCACGCGGGAGTGAAAGACAGACACCTACAGCTCATCTACGGCAATCATGAGATCGTAGTTGATTTCCTGACTGACTACAGAATCGAATTTATACGATGGATGCGAGCGGACGAAGTCGCGGAGCCAAGTCGCCGCCGTTTTGAGCGATCCTGCGAACGACAGGTTAATGCATAGTCGCACAGACGAAAATTATAACGAACCGTTCGTCCTATGCTTAATAAGATCCAAGTACTCGTCCAACTTACACCGCTCATCTTCAGTGATATCTAGGGTATCCAGGTATGCGTACACGAGACCAAATAATCCTGGGAATCCAGGACACTTTGCAAATAAAACACGCATCAACGTATCAGTTCGTTCCATGGCGTTGGGATACTCACCTTTCCGAACATAATCTCTTCCATCGTCATCTCTTCATATTCGTCCTCAACAGGCCTGGATGGGTGTCCGTCTTCTGGTGGTGGGACTGAAGGGAAACAGTTGCGCAGTTTCTTCTCTTTTCTCCGCACAACGTCCGGACCATCCACAGGCGAACTGGATCCCGACGAACATGCGCTGGAAGAGCGAGAAGATCCGGATGGAGGGAAGACATCTTTGCGGAAGAAGAATTTCTGGGAATGAACGGCATCCCTCTTCTGCGCTCTTGACATGTTCTCGTCAACCTGCACGACCACATGATAACCACTGAATTACAACGAATTTATGCGTGGCAGATGGGACTCACTTTCGATATGGGAATGTATAAATTAAGCCCAGAACTCAAAATGGCCCGAGATAGAAGCACCACGAATACGGAGAACGCCGCATTTTCAAAATCTGTGATTTGTACTTCCATCGAGCGGAATTCCACTCGCCAGCCTATAGGAGAGTTGATGGGCGGTGGTTTGAAACGCAGGGTTTGCCAGTTTGTGGATTGAATATTCTAAGCGGAGAGTGAGACATTGAAGCCAGTAATTCTCAGTAAAGACGCGCCTCAAAGTGGTCATTACTGGTCGTATCATCTTGTTCAATCGTCTCCGAAAATATCACGATTGGATCCCGAATGAATAAGTGAGAAATATGCTTTGCGAGCAATTTGTCAATACCTGCATTGAATGGCAATTAGCGATCCCATGCACCAAGGGCATTCGAGAACCCGGAAGGCACCATGATTGCACAGGCGGTCAAAGATTGCTTGGTCATAAGGCGCATGAACGTCACTGTACTCTGGCCTGTTCATCCAGTCTTCCGATAAGTACAGACTGACACTGCTGTAACGTGACTTGGGAATGCAAAACTTGTTCGATTCCAAAGGCTTTTCACTGTCAGCAGAGAGGTCTGACAGATCAGGCGGTGATCGTACCTTCAAGCCCCGTTCTTCTTCCGTCCGGTCATCTACACTCGCAGAGATTACGTCCCAACGACAGTCAACGTCAGCAATGTATCCGCGCCATAACGGACTAGCCGCAGTAAGCGCTAACTACCAAAGCGATCAGTTTTCTGCATGCCGCACAAATTACGAACAAACCATCAGCGGAGCAATAGGAACGAGTGCATCATATAGCCTCCTGGCTTCGGTGACATTGCATGACTGAAAAGTAATTTGTAGGCAACTGCAACCCATCCCGAATCCCATGGCGTCCATGTAAATGTGGTCATTCAGAGCGGCCCCCTGCTTTGCTTCTGCTCACACGGCAGCATTAACTAGTGTGAACGGAGGGTCACTGGATCAAAGGGCAGTACCTGGGTCTTCAGAGTATAGCTCGCGCTGCCACGGGATAGTAGGATCTACAAATGGTCGTGGGGTATTCTTGTCTATGAAGAGGGGAAGATTGATCACTACTTTGGAACCCCGCCGACGACGAATATTAGCTGTGAGTGTACTGAATCAAGTGTCGGTCAGTAATTTGATTATTTTGATAAGGAGGTTGTCCGACGAACGGGAATCGAGCGTGCGGATTTGTTATCTCTTCTGGAAGAAAGAGACTGTGACTGGAAACTGCATTCTCGGGGTCAAAGTACGGATCGGTGAACACCCCAGAGACACCCAGACGTGGATACGAGGTCAAAGTGAATGGCAATTCGTCCTGTTTGAGATATTTGCGAGCCAGTCGCCGTCTGAAAGAGTGGCTGCTGTTTAACTACACAGCTAAAGCAACATCAACGGACGCACCGATAACGCATATCACCCTCGACTGACAATAGGTCGGTCAGGGATCCAGTGTACGGAGAACCCGGAGTAGATTCGAGCATGAAGCGGCCATACTCGGGGTGGAATGTAGGGACAGAACCTCTAGATGGTCGTGAACAATGCTGCGGGCACAGCAAGCAACTGCAGACCTACGAGTCTGCGCGGTCTGAGGCGATGTCGTTGGTGATAGCCTTGAGCTTTGCAAGAATTTCGGACTGCCTCAGCGATAATCTTGCGTTCTTGCTCTCATGGTCGAACGAGACCACCATGTATTCGATCTGAGGTACATATTCCGCGCATTTTGACGGTCAGGAATCGTGATGCAGGCCAGTGCGAAGAGAATCGATACCTCATCGCCCCAAAGGAGTTCGTCGCCGCACCTGTCCTTAAGTCTGTCCCATATGTTTAAGAACTGGGTGATTCCATGGCTCCTAACGTGATCTGCATGTCGTTTTGCGTCATCCCACGCAAGAGGCGTCCCGAGCGACAAGAGACCCATCGGTCGATGGAAATGAAAGAAGAGGAACGCGTGGAGTGATATCAGACCAGTCCAGCAAATCCAATGCCGGTCTGGCAGTCAGCCAAAATATACAGAAACACTTTTAGAGGATGACAAACACGCCCAATGACCAATCCTCTGAGCGGACAAACGCCATCCGCTGTAAGAAAAATACGAGACCGGACCGATCTAGGAAAATCTTGTCTGCGGGAGACGCCCTCATTGTGCTGTGCTCCTTGCATTTCGCTCTGCGGGATGCCGGCAAGGAGAGATGTTTACTTTCGCCGACAGATGAAGACACGGAACGTCAGAAGCCGTCGCGAACGTAAAAGAGCAATACAACCCGAAGTTCCGTACACACGCATTAAACACATTGTGCCCGTCATTACATCATGGAATCCCTAGGCCTGGTAATACACCGGTATGCTACAATCGTAATAAAAGCCAGATCTAATTATGCACATCTACTAATAAATTCTAGTGTTCTATCGTCCATCCGGATACATCCTTAGCCATTATTGCCGTTAGTGGTCCATTTGAGCAAAATCTTGAGAGCAAGCAAAACGTGCCGCAGAGCACGCGTCCAAGCCTCTTCCTGGCTGAACTGCAATTTCACAGACGCCTCTCCTATCTTGTCTTTCACAATTCTGGCATGAGATCAGCGTTTATGATACACCCTCCCGAAATGTTCAATATCGCTTACTGGTGCGGGAAGTCGACTTGGGGATCTTGCGATTTGACGTAGTCAACTAATTGTTTCAAGCAGTCTAAGAAGGCCACCATCGCAAAATCAAAACGACGGTTGTGTAGCAGTCGGCCCAAGTGGAGATCTCCAGAACCATACAGCTCGTACGTAGCTTTATCTCCAGTCGTTCTCTCTATGCGAGAGAACGAACCCATTGGGACAAGTCGATAACTAGAGATAACATGAAGAAAGTCCTTCGTGAATTGCGAGAATAGCTCACTTCTCAAATGTAAAATCCAGCTTCCTAGCGATGGTATATAAGAGCAGCAGTGTCTGGCCCCACGCGGCATTGATTTCTGCCCATTCAACCTAATAATCTGATAAGATGGTACTATGGAAGACGTAGGAAAACGGGCAAACCGGAACTCCAGGAACTCTGCCCAGACGCAATCCATTAATTGTTCCGAACACGCCTTCATGACCAATGCAAAATGCATCGTTGTAGACGTTGGTACGTTCGAGCTTCTCTAGTGTCATGGAATCGGCAGCATAAGCTGCCCGGAGGGCCGCAAGTTGAGAAGCTTGTTCAGCGGTCTTTAATAGATGAGCATTATGTGCTCGCCAGAACCTATGACAAAACTCAGTTATGAGTCGTGAGACGCATACATGTAAGATAAATACTAACTCAGCTTCCTCCTCCTCCACGGCTTTCTCCTCCAGTTCCAGAGCCCTTAACTCTTCGGCTAATTGTTCTCGCTCACGCTCTGCGGCCTGCAACTGTTCGATTGCCAACTTTTCCTCCTCTTTGACTTTGCTAATTTTGAACTCCGCTTCCTGCTTGCTCATTCCTTCACTTTCGCGCTCTTTCTCCTTCTTGACCTCCTTCTCGAACGCAATATAGCCATCGCGTTCTTTCTTCGTCTCCTCTAACTGTCTTGTCAGTGATGTCAGTAGGATATCCGTACATTCTGCACACAGAGGGTGGTCGAGATCTGTACGACTGGACAGGAGGTTAAATAAACGTAGCGTGGACCGTAAATGGTGTGAGAGTGGTGAGGGATTTGGATGGTTGGTCTCCTCCTGGACGGCAGCCGCCGCAGCTGGCGGATTATAGCTCTTGGTCTTGGAATACGAAGCCTTCTTAGCGAATGGAGTCGTGGGAAGGGGAGAGGGAATATTGCGCACGATGCTGTCTTGGAGCAGCACAAAAGACTCACTCGGGTGTGCCACTACACGTTGCGATGGCTTTCTCTGGGCGCGCGGAGACGAAGCAGAGGGTGAATCAGGTCTATTCTGAGCAGAATTCTGCCAGGCCGCTTTCACAGATGAAGGAGCAGGCAACTGAGAGAGCTTCTCAGCATCCGAGGTCTGCTTTCCATACCCTGATGGCGTAGAAGGCAAGGATGCGGCGACCATGTCATATGCAGAGGGTGAAAGATCGACTAGTGATGCATCAAGCTATACACGCTGAGTCTAGCATAGCGATGACCGAAGATTCGCACTGACCTGCAATGGCTGCTTGCATTGTTGACAGACAAAATTCATCTCGAAGACGGTGAAGTGTACTGCCATTCGGTTGAGCACTTGAGTTTAGTCCAGAGCTATATCTATCATACCTTAGTATTGTGGAGAGACGCGTCTGTACCAGCTGGCTTGAGTCAAACTACTGTTCCGGCATCATTTTAGCTTCAAAATTACGGTGCACGTTGAGTAAAGTACCTTTTCAAACACGATATACTTCGGAGGAGGAGTTGGATGAATCGGCTGAAATTGTCTTCGTAATTGGAAAGGGAGAACTGGGGAGCCGCCACCGACCTTGGTCGCGTCGTGTCGATCACCTGATCTACTTCCTCGCGAATAAACCGGGAACTAACGACTCTCGCATGCGCACCAGTTGCGCAACTGGACAACGTTCGCCTACGATTCGGCCAAATGCTCGCATTTCTTCACAGCGTTGTATTCAGCCGTTTACCTCTCCACGACCGAGTCGTGTTCGATCACTCCTGCAATCGATCTGCTCGACTTGGACCTACGGACCTACAGGAACCTCAGGAATTGCTATAGACGTGGCTGAACCGTGAGATATGACTCTTCTCACTCGAATGACTGCATCAATGTGTCTTGTGGCTCAAACATAGCTCGGCGTACCTGATTTTAACATATAGAGATCATTTTTCGTCTAGGACACCCAGTTGGTTCCAGGCTGCACCGCAGTGTCCACCATATGGAATCCCGAGACGAATCAGCAGTGCTGATGCGCCTCCCAGCACCTTACATTCCCCTCTACCTCAATCGTCGTTCCTGTCTGTAGGCTGTGCACACAGCATAGTGGCCTCGTGCTGAGCATGTGTATTGACGGTCGTTGCGTCTCCTCACCCGCACACAGTCTTTGATGCTCTCCACGACGTCACTCGGGCACATCGATGCATAGCCCCTCTTGGTTAGTCGCTGATCCACAGCGAGACCATGAGCGACCCGTGCGCCATTCCCCGCGGCCTTCTAATTTCCACTGATATATTTGTCGGCATAGCCGCAGGTATGTAGTTGAGCGCAGTTGTTGCTCATTACGCATCGTATCGGCTCCGCTTATCCCAGATTTAGACCGGAGCTGTTATTGCACTGATATATCAGGATGTGCGTCTATTGTCCCAAAGTCTCCACACGCATTGTTAGCGAACCTCATGTAGTCCGGCATACTGATATTAAAAGTTGCACGGAGGCTCGTCGCGCACACCTGTTTTGCTGTTGACGATTGTCAATGACGTGACCCTATAAGTACTGCTCTTGCTCTCGACGCAAGCCAACGTCTGCTACTTTCCCTGCCCAGGAAGGCTCTGTCTTGGGTAAGATGCTTGTCATGTTTTTTAAGATGTTATCTCATTCATTTGCTGTTAATATCCAGAATGGCAACTCGTGTCTTTGCACTTATTATTGGTATCGACAAGTACAAGTCGGGCCGTATTTGGAACCAAGAGTCCTGTGCTGACGACGCCAAAAATATTAAGCATTGGCTTACCCGTGATTTACATGTTCCTCGAGACCAGATATGCCTTCTACTTGATGCCGAAGCTACGAAGCGCAAAATAGAAGACCACTTTATGAGTCACCTTGTTAATAATCCTGCAATCGAGCGCGGTGACGCCATCCTGGTGTACTTTTCAGGCCACGGCAGCACAGTACGTTCTCCTCCTGGTTGGTTTGAGCATGGCCGGGGGGAGGTTGAGGTCCTGTGTCCGCATGATCACGACACCAAGACCGCGGAAGGTAGAGTGGCGGGCATTTCTGATCGCTCGCTGCATGCGATGATGAAGGACTTGTGCCAGGCCAAAGGGAACAACATCACACTGATGCTTGACGCCTGCTTCATTATGCCTCTGGATGGACCACGAGAGCGCAAGCACATTCGCTACACGCCCACCACCAAAGCGACTTCAGAAGACCTCTTTTCGGGGCTTTGGAAATCCGCTATGGTTCATAAGAGCCAGGTGAGCTCCAGCCGTGGCTTTACGGCTACAACCCATGGTACGCACGTCGTTCTTGCTGCCTGCGGTAGTGGTTGGGTCGCCACAGAAGGGAAGGCTGGCGGCAACTTCACTATGGCGCTCATGGCCCTGAAGGATCGCGTCGCGCTTCACAAATTGACCTACACCGAGTTGACACAGCAGGTCACTGCGCTGATGGATGACCATCAACATGCGGTGTCCATGGGCAGGCACACTGATCGTATTCTTTTTGACGGGATTCCTTTCCTTCCCGACGCCGGATATGTGTCGATCGACGTCTACGATAATGAAAAGCTGCGCGTGGAGGCCGGAGCTATTCATGGCATCATGGAAGGCACGGAGTTCACTATCCACCAGCACAATCGTCGCGGTTCCCTCAACCCTGTGTTGGCCACGTATTCCGTTATCGAAGTCTATCCAACGTGGTGTCTCGCTCGGTGCAAGTCGTCTGCTAGGTCTATGGCACGTGAAGGATGGGCACGTATCAAGCGTTGGAATAACAGCACACCATTTCGTGTGCACCTTCGCAAATCACTCTTGTCCATTCTGCGTCGATGTTCTCTCAGGCGTGCAATCGCTTCGGACCCCGAGAAGGCTTCCGAACGTCCTGGCCTCAGCATGCTGCGTGTTAAAAGCGCCACACAGGCAGACATATCCGTCAAAATGCGTCGACGAGACCTCGTGGTGGAGCGACACGATCCCCTCATGGTCTCCAACTGTCGCCGAGTTATCGAGCTCCCCAGCGAGCGGACCAGCAGCGACCTCAAAATTATCGATGACGCTGCACGTTTCCATCTTCATCTTCACCGCAAAAACCCTGCAAGACCACTCCTCGGCCTCGTCAGTATGGAGCTCTTCCGTCTAGACTCCTCGACGTGGACACGCGTCAGCGGGAACCTCCTCGTCAATGGCAAGGCAGAGATCGTCGACGACGAGAAGAATTCTATCTATGCCGTCATGGTGCATAATTATTCGGACCATGATCTTTGGCCATACCTCGCGTACATGGATGCGACTGGTTACGGAATCAGTATGGTGTATCACCCCGACCCATCCGTAACGGTCCCCCCACTCCGCAAGCATTCAGCCTTGATCATTGGTTCCGGGACCCCAGATTCGGAGGCGCTGATTTTCTCGCTCGCTGCAGGTGCCGACACGGGAGCAGGGTTTTTGAAGTTGTTCGTGTCTTCCACATTCACGCCTATGAAGTTCATTGAGCAAGGCATCCCTACGTCGGCACTCTCCGCGCAGGTTAGAGACAACAAGAAGACTGCTCCTGCCCCGCAAAGCGATTTCTGGGATTCTATGGTTGGTTGTGTTACAGTCGTCCGCAAGTCGGAGAGAGAGACTTGACTATTGCTGGCGACACGACCTGTCATATGCGAGATGTCGTCGAGCGGGCTCGGCGTACTATCTCGGAGGCTAATTTATGTATTGTTATGGCAGCGTATGTCGAAAACTGAATTTATTCATGTACTTATATCTCATGGCAAGTGGGATATGAAGTTATGCATGTTCTCAGCTTCCGCTTTGAACAGAGTCGGGTCAATCTTATCTGATGGCTTCGATTGGATCAGAACCAAATATATACAAATGCGCCAACAAAATAAAAAAACGCCGTTACCAGCACATGGGCATCTGGGTTCCATCCTGTCTTTCATTTTCTGCCAAATTCTTGCAACGCTCTCAGTGATTGTTTTACACTACCTCTGATCAGGGTGAGTTTCTCCTTCGGGTTTATTTATATACAATGTTTTTTTTGTTTGTTGCAATGACGAGTGTTGATTTTTTCAACCACCACTGGCACCTCTTAGTCGACTTTGATGCGCTTTGCGAGCTCTGTTCCAATGCATATCACTGACATGAATGGCATTCTGAGCATATAATTTCAGTCCTGCGCATAGCAATGACCTTTCTTACAATGCTGATGTTGTTTGTAGGTTCCATTTCTTATCAAAGACAGATCGATCTGTTGCATGTTTCACATACGGGCTGTGGTATTCCGCGGCCAGAGCCAAGAAGTAGCATCGTTCCTATGGTGCCTTGACCCCATATTTTCATCTCTATCTCGAACGTTTTATTTGTACGTGTTCCATCTGAGATATATGTCTCTAGCAATATATTCTTTATCAGCTGGATTGCGCGAATGGGTGGAATCAGTGACTCTGTCTTACCCTCCCCATCGAGAGCTTCAGTCGTACACTATCCTGAGTTCCAACATGTCACAAAGTTCCAGCTGGCAAGAACTAGTGGCGGATAAGAAGCGTCGTCAAGAAGCATCTGTTCCTCGAAATTGGCTAGTCACTGTGCCTCCTGACACAGTCCTTGATGTCACCGCATTTCCCGAACAATGTGGCCTTCTTTCTGAGAGGGAACTAGAGATCACAAACACCATTGATGTTGGGGTACTATTGCAGAAGCTTGCCGCTGCGGAGTGGTCTTCTGTTGAGGTCACTACGGCATTCTACAAAAGAGCCATTGTTGCTCAACAATTGGTATGGTTTTGTTCCTCCATGTGTAGTCTATTTCATCTCGGTGATAACTATCTAGGTCAACTGCCTGACGGAAATATTCGTTGAGAAAGCTTTGGCGCGTGCAGCCGAGCTTGATGATTATCTTAAAACTACGGGGAGCGTTGTCGGGCCGTTACATGGTTTGCCTATGTCGCTGAAAGACCAGATCAATCTTAAGGGTCTTGAGACCACAATAGGTGAGTTGGCATGCGGGCATACATAGGTCGTGTACCGATGAGCAAACAACAGGCTACGCATCTTGGGTTGGCAAGTACGCCGACAAAGATGCCGTCCTTGCAGAGATCCTGTATGAATGCGGTGCCGTCCCATTTGTGAAAACAAACATTCCTCAAACTTTGATGGTGCGTGTCGTCTTGTCGTACGAAAGTGAATTTATCGATCAACGGCGAATGAATCATACAGTGGCCAGAGACATACAACCTGATCTTTGGCAGAACTCTTAATCCTGCAAACCGTCTTCTGACCTGCGGAGGATCATCCGGTGGTGAAGGCGCGCTAATCCACCTCAAAGGCAGCCCACTTGGTGTCGGGTCTGATATTGGAGGGTAAGCAGCAGAATCTCTTATGTCTGCCCATATTTACTCTTCAAATTACTAGATCCATTCGTATTCCTGCCATTTTCAATGGGTTATATGGTTTGCGGCCCTCGTACGGCCGTGTGCCTTATGAAGGATCCGCCAACTCGATGTGCGGGCAAGACTCCATCCCGTCTGCTCTCGGACCCTTGTCGAACAGCCTGAGCGGCATCAAAGCATTCATGCAAGCCGTCATCAGCCGTGAACCGTGGCTGAGAGATCCCCTCGCGGTTCGCAAGAAGTGGGACGATGAGGAATATGCACTTGCGGGGCACGGCAACGGCCAGGCTCTCTGCTTTGCTATACTGTGGGACGACCGTATTGTCATTCCCCATCCTCCCATTATTAGAGCTCTGGAGATGACACGAGATGCATTGATTGCGGCCGGTCATAAAGGTACGTTTTCACCGATACACAATGATGCATCAGTCTGCTTAAGTTTGTACCGCAGTGATTGACTGGAAACCTATCAAACACTTGGAGTTGGGTGACGCCATCGTGAGTTATTACGAACGATTTGCGGCGGTCTGCTGATCCTTTGACAGTTTAGAATATGCAAGGCCGGTGCATTGGAGGACTTAATGGTTGCTACAGCAGCTTCCGGAGAACCGATTCTCTCGTCAATGAGCCTCACAGAGGAAGTGATCGTTGATACCTCTACTCGCCCTGATCTAATCGGCATTTCCGCATATCAACTGTGGCAGATCCAGAATGCAAAAGCACATCTTCGCAAAGAGTACCTCGATCATTGGGAGAGGACAGTGGAAGCAACAGGAACCGGGCGTCCTGTCGACGCTATTATTTCACCAGGAGCGCCTTTTGCAGCGCCCCCACATGGGAAAAACGGGTAAGTCCCATTATATATCTGACTATGGCGAATTCAAAGTCTCTGGGTCAGAAATCCCAACTACACCCAGGTTTTCAATGTACTGAATTATGTTGCCTGCGCTTTCCCTGTCACGAAGGTTGATCCGACGCTGGACGCGAAGAAGCCACCTCATCAGTTCCTGAACGAAGCAGATGAAGTCAACTACAATCTCTGTAGGTGCACTATGCGTTATCCTGTGACGGTTTGTTTGATTGTTACATTGTGATATCAGATGACCCTATTACGTTCCAAAACGCACCCGTTGGTCTCCAACTCGTTGGTCGGACATTGGAAGAAGAAGCCGTAATCGCTATGACCGAGATAGTGGACTCGGCTCTTAAGGCAACAGCCAGTGCGTAAGCAAGTCATGAATATTTATAATAGGTTAAGTACTGTGATGGCAATACGCTGTAAAGCATGCGATAGATTTAGGAAGCTGTATTGTAACGTTGACACGCTCGATCATTGTCTCCGTTCGACGAATTTGGAGCTGCACATCATGCGAGGTTAAGGGTAACTTCGCAATACAAAGCGAACCGTGGTATTGCATCAAACGGATACATTCGGGACACATGTGATGGCTAATATGATGGTCTTCTCGACATACTGTGCATAAACAGCGCATATTATCTCATGATCTTCATCTCTTCTTTATATCCCTCTTTTTCCTCTTGCTCGTGGAAAGTGGTTTAATGGATGATGGTCGCTTGAGGCTTGGTGACGCAGATGCGGCAATTTGCGCATCTCGGATAGCTTCCTTGCTCAGGCAGAAGTCGATGTGTGCATTGAATGCTTGATTGTCGACCTGCAACAGTTTACTGCAGATCGGACAGGTTTGCGCCTCCACAAGCTCATTAGCTTTTGTAGTTCTTGGCTGACTCGTCGAACGACGACGCTTGAGATTATCCGTTCGACGTATAGCAGTATTCGATACTTCTATTGAAGAACGTTGGCCAGCAGCTGAGACAGGTTTGGTGGGCAAAGGACCGAGAGCAGGCGGATTTGAAGAGGAAGGGGCCGAATTCGGTGGCCTCGATTTACTCCCCGTGAATTCAACGTTACGCATACTCGTGGTTAGATGCATAGCAAAAGACGAGGAGCCTTGTACAAACATGGTTCCATCTCGGTCAAAGTCATCATCGCCATGCAGAGCATCGAGGCTTGCGTGGTCTGCTTCGTCATGCTCATGAAACCCAGGCATAGTCTCTTCGAAACCATCAGGTGTGAGAGACGGTTCATTCTCCAGAGGATATTCGACCTCCGCTTGCTTCCTCTTCTGAGGATGTGGGTTGTGTGCAGGCTCGAAGAACTTGTGGATTGTGACGTCAACAGGAGCAGTATCAAACAAGAGAATGAGGCACACCCTTTTGATCCCGCTATTTTTTTGAGCGGCTTCGGCTCGCAGGTCTTTCAACTTTGTGACTCTGAGGCCAATTAATCGGAGCGTTAGGGGCATTTCAGGCATTAGGAGCTCTTTGCCTATCTGCCAAACCGGAACGTCGAAGTTGGATGACGTTTAGCATGAGTCAGCGCACGAGGGGCACGTACTGCATATAGAGCCTCCTTTGTAGTAGTAATCCAACGATCAAATGATTTGGCACGCGTGAAAACTGCGCAAAATCGGGGTGAGGTCGGTCAAGACGAATATCGGCTGGTCAAAGAATGGACCTTGGTATGTATCCAATTTGTATTTCAGTGTTACTGTTTTTCCCGTCCAGCCATCGCCGACCATGTCATGATCTAATTCAGCTGCAACTTCCTCCAATTTATGGAGTATGTCTTCTTGTCTTGATAAAGGCGCGAACGTCCTGATAGTAAAACCGATTGATACGATAGACGTTGGATATAGTTTGGTCAGTCCCTGGTACGCATTTCAATGGAGGGAAGTACCGCTCAGCTCCGATGCTCTTCCGTTCCTCCCGCTGCCACGGCTGAACAATATTTGACGCAATACCAAGATATGCCTGTAGGAGAAAATGAAGGCCGAACTGTTTGTCCATCAACGACAGGATAGCTCGATGGGTGTATATATCACCGCATGTCTGTAGCGGTTGATCAACGCCGATCCAAAGCGGTGTGTATACGCAGCTCAGCTCAATATAAACTCTGGAAGAATGGCCTCGTGGATACTTGCCTTAATATCTATAGATTCTAAAAGTCGTTCGTTCACGCGACCGACCCCAGGTAGCTTCCGTATGGACAAATCGTGCATAAATTCCTTGATCGTGGCTGGATCCGACTCAAGCTTGAATTGCCCATTTGGCTTGTTCTAAACACTGTAATAAGAACTAATACCGTTGACTGCACAGAAAAAGGCCACAGACCTTATCAGAGCAGATCTTACAGCACGCACAAGGTTAGAGAGCCGACGACAACGATACGGGTAAATTCACCTTGGCCAACATCTGGCCGCAGCATGTCGAGTCTGCATCAGTACCACGGAACTTCACTTGCGTCATCACAAACCTTGTTAGGGGCGATTCCAGCACTGACAGTCAACCTGGTCTCTTTTTGGACGGCCTCTCGCATCTGTTGGACGCACTCCTCTGCCGTCAACTGATGGTCTTCGCAGTAGGCCGTGATACTGTTCATAGAGCGCCAGATTAGTTGTAGGTAATTTCAGGGCCGAGGGTATGCCATGTTGGATAGACGTAAAAAAGCCTTACTTGATATATCCTTCATCGCAGCTGGCCGCACACATGTTTGGATCATATCGGCGAAATATGTCCATGACTCTCCGGGACATTTCCAAATAGCGGTCAAAATGGTTCCCCACGAGGATCAGGTGAGGGCATAACTTCTTGGCTATGAAGCCTGCATGGACCAAGACCGATTTCGGCGACAGTGCGGAGCGGGAGAAGACAAATATGACACCAACCAGCCATGCCGGATCGTACACCATACTTCCGGGCCTCATAGGATGCTGTGGTCAAGACACCTTTACCAACCTAACCAATCGTGAGACGCACGTTCCAGTGGAAGAGGAGGCGATATACTACAGCAAAAGGCCTCCCCTCGAGGGATGGATCATCGAGAAGCTCAACACTTGCGTAGAATGCGTCCATGTCAACATGGACAATTGTCTGGGTTAGGTCCCGCTGTCCTTCAAGTTTGAAAAGCTGGCGCCGAGAGTGAAGCTCAAACCCAAGACGATCATTTTGATAATAGACTTACAAGCTGGTCTACGCCATGCTCGATACTGTCTAATTTACAAGGCTCACAAAGTCAGTGAGGCACGCCTCTGAAAGACGCCAAGTAATGGACGTACGGATATCCACGCCCTTCAACACTTCATCACGGTGTCTAAGAATCCGTGCGATCCGTTCAGTGAGATCCTTGTCTTTCCGTTTCTCGTTCTTTCCCAAAGAGTTTCAGCCTGATGGGAATGCATCGCTTGCTATGCCGTCACTGACCTCGTAGAATTTAGACCCCTTGGACGCCTCAGCAATTATACGATTGATCCCTGACTGATCTATTGCGAGCCTGAAATTCATGCTTGCCGTTAGAAAAGGGAGCCGACAAAGACATACGAACCGACCCTGCTTTGGTTGTTGAGGGGCCGGCAAGTCGCTTCACGAGGCTATCGGTATCGGGAGTCGAGTTGGGTTCCAGTGGCATTGAATACACAATATTATATGAGGGTGCGTTATGATTGATGGCATAGACCCAAAATACCAAACACTGTCGCGAAGAAACAGCGGCAGACTCGGACGCTCGCCTCCTGGGATGAGTCGGAGCCCCGCGCGCGTCACGGTAGCGTGATCTTGTCATTGTGCACACGTGAATGACAACGCGCACACGTGACGGACACGTCTCGATTCAACTTGAAGTTGGTCGACGCGTTCCCCCTGCAGCGCAGCAGCCTCAGGCCTAAGGTACCACGTCGACAACCTCTGCTCGTTCCGAGCTTACGGTACAATACCCAAGATCCACTAGATGGCCGGTCGCAGGAAACCCGCTCCAGACTATACTCAAGTCAGCAGCCGAAGCGTTGCTGAAGCACCTTTCCAGGTCTCATTGACTGACGACCAGCCCGTGGTACGATACACCCTGACAGACCGCTCTGACCCTGCTCCCGCAATGTCCAACCACTCTGGATTAGATCAAGCACGCTTTTCACAGCCGCGATTTTCCAAGACATCTCCCGTCCGCAATCCGTCTTTGCCGACTGTAGCTGAGGCCACCGAGGACGGGTCAAATGCAGAAGATGGATCTTCCATCTCTAAGGAGAGTATGTCCTCTGGGGCTACGTACGTCGGCCAAGATGGTGCATACTACGATGAATCCAAGGGCTATTCCGGCATGGAGCCCAATCCGAAACTGGCGTTTAACCACAACACATTGCCTACCATCACTTCCGGACAGCCGTTGCAATGGGAATACGCACAACCTGCACCTGGTGATGACCCTTTTGTTGACCAACGACAATATGCGCAACCCCTAGAGAACGCGCCGAACCAGACGTACGCGCCACCTACTTACCCATATATGCACACTGGCAGCAGTTGGCAGTCGCCAACAAGACCAACATCTGCCTACAGCACCACATCTGTTGGGCTATCTTCACAACCGAATGTTACAGGTCATGGGTACCAGCCGGAGTTAGATACTACTTATACAGGCTCTCGCAGCACTATAGACCATTTCCAACATGATACAGAAGCATACGCCTCGGGGGCCTATTCTCGTGCGTCTTATCGTCCGCCGCGGTCTCGATCTCCTACCCCTGCAGTAGACGATGAGGACTACCACATAGTGGGCAATGGTAGCGTCCACTACACCGGTCACTCCCCAAATCGGCAGCCCCAATCGTACGACTATGAGAAGGTCGCTTTGCAAGAACAAGACCTTAGCTACCATCAGCATTATCTAACGTACGACGGGGACCACGAGTCGCTGTATACAGAATCTGAGAAAACATCGCTTTCTAGCGGGGCATCGCCGCATCTAGAGCCAGAGACACCCGTCAACACCCGCCATTTTGGACCAGCCCCCATGGGCCGCATTTTGCGCCGACATAAGACCAAAAAGCGGGTGCAACTCACCAACGGAAATTTGGTTGTAGACCTAGACGTACCGCCTAAACTTGTATTGCCACGCAAAGGAGAGGCAGAGATGATGAAGACGAGATATACGGCTGTAACGGGAGATCCAAACGACTTTGAGAAAAATGGATTCTTTTTGCGACAAAATGAGAGCGGTAGGACGACAGAACTTTTCATCGTCATCACCATGTATAACGTATGCTCTATAACATTCTTGGCGATTGTTATGCTAATATGAAGTCGTAATTCTAGGAGGACGAGGTATTATTTTGTAGGACAATGTACGGCGTGATGCAAAATATCTCACACCTGTGTTCGCGCAAGCACTCCAGAATATGGGGTCAAGATGCCTGGAAAAAGGTCATACATTTTATCAATAGAATGATTGCTACTTATGACGCGTCCGACCATAGGTCGTTGTTTGTATCGTAGCAGATGGCCGCAAAAAGGTTCATCCGCGCGTCCTGGACTGTCTAACACTGCTTGGTGTGTATCAGCCGGGCGATCATATGAAAAATATGGTCAACAATAAGCCTGTGACTGCCCATCTCTTCGAGTACACCGCCTCCTTCGGACTGGATCCCAATCTGCACTTCAAATATCCGGATAAGGGGATTGTGCCGACGCAGATCTTGTTCTGTATGAAGGAGAGGAATCAGAAGAAGATAAACAGTCACCGTTGGTTCTTCAATGCCTTCGGGCCCATGTTGCAAGTGAGTCGAACAAACGGTTTCGCTTTGGATAATGGCTGACTTCAAACATTAGCCGAATGTCTGCGTACTTCTAGACGTCGGTACGCGCCCGGGACCCAAGAGCATCTATCATCTTTGGAAAGCATTTGACCTGAACTCGAATGTTGCTGGGGCTTGCGGTGAAATCGCTGCTTATAAAGGGAAGCATTGGTCAGCCTTGCTAAATCCGCTCGGTAGGTACATTTTCTGTCCCGTTTGCCTCTACTGATGTAGTATTAACTCCCAGTGGCGGCGCAAAATTTCGAATACAAGATCGCAAATATTTTGGACAAACCAACGGAATCACTATTCGGTTATATTAGTGTCTTGGTGAGTGATATTTCTCTAATATGCAAACGACTCTCATCCAAGCGATCTCATTCCTCTCAGCCCGGAGCATTCTCTGCCTATCGGTCGGTTTATCGTTTGGTTGGCGCAGTTCCCCAATGACATGATAGCATAGATACATCGCGCTGCAAAATAACAAGCAGGGAAAGGGCCCTTTGGCCTCATATTTCAAAGGAGAGGTTTTGCACGGTCGCGATACAGATATCTTCACCTCGAACATGTGTGAGTGCACTTTTCGACGTGGCAAAATATGTTCAAGTCTAATACTTACACAGACCTCGCCGAGGACGTGCGTACCACTACCTTCTTCCTCGTATTGGCTTTGAACACATGCCATAGCGTATTCTGTGTTTTGAACTTGTAGCAAAAGCAAATTCGAACTGGTAAAGGCCATCGTATTCTCACTTTGACTGTTCCTTGTTATTCATCTAGTCATCGCGGTCAGGATCCTGAAATATGTCAAGAGCGCAATCGCTGAGACTGACGTGCCTGATGCATTGCCGGAGTTCATCAGCCAGCGGCGGCGGTGGTTGAATGGATCTTTCTTCGCCGCCACGTACGCCATCGCTCACTTGGGGCAGATTTTGCATTCCGGCCACAGCATAGGTCGAAAATTCATGCTGATTATGGAGACCATCTACAACGTGATTAACCTCATTGCGGCTTGGTTCGCCATTGTATGGATAATTTTTGCCTTGAGGTATTTTGAGACTGACGATGTGTCCGTAGGGCAATTTTTACTTGTTCTTTGTGAGGAAAACGCTTGGTTGCGGCTGGTTTGTCCGATGATTGAAATGTTTTATTAGATTATTCTCACCTCGTCCCTGGAAACACCCTCATTTGGTATGACGGGACTGAAGTACTTCAACGCTGTTATTCAGGTGCGTATTATGGATGAGAGGCGCACAACTTATATTCTAATAAGTACGGATTAAGTTTGTGATGGGAGGAATCGTTGTAGGGTGCTTCCTCTTCTCTATGGGAAATAAACCGAAAGCGTGTGTGATACATACCCTTATGATTGTTGATACCGTGACTGACTTGACTCCAGATCGAAGTGGAAATACAAACTTTCTGCGATCATGTTGTCGATAATGATGGTCTATCTCCTCTTCAGCGCCGTCATGGTTGCCGTAGAGGCAGCTGGCTCGGGCGGTGTTGCATACACCACTATGGTATTCAGTATTAGCGTAACTTACGGAGGTGAGCATTTGTGTGGCTATAACCGAGGAGATGCTCACCGACATCGTAGTATATGTGCTATCAAGCTTCTTGGCACTAGACCCTTGGCATATCTTCACCAGCTTCATCCCCTACCTGCTCCTCTCTCCTACATATATCAACATTTTGAATATGTGAGACTGTTTCATTTATACGTCTGGAATGAGTGAGTGACGCCTTTTCGCTGCAGTTATGCATTTTCGAATCTAGACGATGTGGGTCGCCTGCCTAAAGCCTGAATTTTTGTATCTCACCTATCACCAGATTTCTTGGGGAACAAAACAAGACACTGAACTAGAATCCGATCTCGGCGCAGTCATTCAGAACAGCAACTCCCAAGTCGACGTCGAAGTGCTGACTGACGCGGCAGACGTCAATGGTATGTACGAGGAGTCGCTGCTTAATCTGAAACACAAGAAGCCCGTTCCAAAAAGTAGCACCGGAAACAGCTTGGCTGAGAAGGAACAAGCAGCGAAGGACTACTACGCCAATGTTCGCACCAATGTAAGTATCTATGCGAGATTCTCGATTCGAACGCGAATCTTGACTTTCTTAATCAGGTTCTCCTCAGTTGGGTTTTGTCGAACGTAAGTCCATTGAGCTGCGTGTCGCGAAAGTTGCATGTCACCTAGACTTCTGCCAGGCCCTTCTTTTGGTAGCTATCCTCGGCGGGGGCGATGCTGTTAGCACATTCAGCGATAATAGTTCGTTCAGCCGCACTAAAGCATATATGACTTTTATTCTGGCGTTTGTTGCGATCACGACTTCTATTGTAAGCTCTCTTCTTAGACTCGTTGTTCGTATATTGAAATACTGCTTGCCGCAGCGCTTCTCTGGCTCGACGATGTATCTCATCGCGAGAGTCTTCACAGGCTAAGCTTACCCCATGATCACGAAAACTGTATCTTTATGAATAACCATTGAACGAACGAAGGACATTGGATACTGTTCGTACAAATTGTACACATATACTTATTACATTCAGGACACGGACACAACATGCGTAATGCTGAACAATTAACAAATATACTGGTCATTTAAACAGATAGTTGTAGAACGAACGTTCGG